AATAGTAGTGGGGAAAGTAGGCCCTTAATGGGTGAACATCATAGTTACTCATTTCTAATCCAATACAAGTGGCCAATTATTCATTGCCTTTTTAGTACTGGCCTTGTAATTTGAACCAATTTCCTAGGAAAGTCCTCTGYCCTCAAAATGGCTTTGATATACTTTGTTTCTGATGCTTTCCTCCTCCCTCCTTCCCTCCCTCCCTTTCTTCCTTCCTTCCTTCCCCAAGAAAGACAGTTATTTTTAATCATTTGGCTGTGGACTCTTTTGAGTCACAGACCTTCTTCTCAGGGAAATGTGTATTTGAAACAAAACTACGTGGACTTTCAGAGACCCTCATGGACCTCCCTGAAGTTAGTTCATTCATGTATCTAACGAGGATCTGTGACGTCTGGGTTAAGAGCTTCTGCCCTGGTGCCTGGTCTGCCTTCATAGGTTGGCTGGTTAGGTTACTCCCTTATTAGAAACCCTGGATATACCAGGAGAGGGCTTGCTCAAGAGCTCTCTAAATAGAGTGACCTCAGTGTTCCCACTCCATGGCCATGCAGTCTTCTTACCCACTCACTGAGTACTCTGAACAGGCTGAACCAGACCTGCTTAGGCTCTGGGATCCTGGTTATCAGCCCAGTTATCCAGAAAGGCAAGAGAGCTCTGAAGTGAATTCAACTTGTGACAAAGTTCTCTTAATTCCAAATGTGGTCTAGTTGAAAATGGTATACTAGGAATTAACTTGCTAACACTAATCATTGTTATTCTAGGGAGGCAGCTCACAAAATGTCATCTGTAGTCCAGCATCAGGAATACAGCTGCAGTGATCCTCCAAGTTGGTTTGGCTATGACGGTGGTGGCAATCCTCTTAATGTTCAATATACAAAACCATTTAAAGGTGTCCCAGAGGTGACAGTGAAAGAGTCAGAGTACAGTAGTACTGAAGAGGAAGTATGACCTTCAGCCTCAAGCAGGAAAAAAAAAAAAAAAAAAAAACCCAAAATTTAGAACCTAGCAACCTTTCTTCACTTGATGAAAGTATTTTTTTCTAGCTGGATCTCAGTAACAATGTAAACAAGCAGCAAGTCATCTTCTGATTCTTAATCCCACCTACAAATGTTTCTAAATATATTGGTTTTTCTGTCTAAGTAATCATGATCCCTAAATTTAATCAAACCAATAATTTTGACATTATCAAATTTAAGGTTGTATTATAGGAAACAACCCTGAGAGATGTAAATTTTTTGAAAAGAATTTTTAAATTTGTCTCTAAATAAGCAAGGATGGCCATATAAGTCAAAATAAAAATTTGAGCCAGGACAATGTCTTTAAGGATCTGTGAAGCTTTATTATAAAAGATAGACATCCATTTTCAAAGGAAAAGGGGCTCTTTTTTTTTGTGATTTCCAGGTATTTTACAACAAAACAGAACTAAAYACAAATTAGCTCTGGATTCATTTAAACACTTTAATAGGGGAAATTAAATAGAAGCAAAAATTGTCTATGAACAGAAAAGTTATAATTCCTATAATGTCTCAGAAACATCTTTTTAATCAAGTTTGCACTATGGAGGAATTTTTTAAAACCAAACTGTGTCAAAAAAGATGTTCCCTCAATTTTTGCTAGGAGGTATGGGCTATTAATTGCATACACTGATATTGACAGAGTCCAGGAGAAAGCACAGCTCTGTTCTGACTGCTACATACAGGCGCATCAGTGATATTAGACAGTATTTTTTTAAACTTTCCTATTTCCTCAATAATTTCCCTCTTAAATGGGGTTATTCCCTGTCTTCTTGTTTACCTTAAGTTTGAAATAAATATAAAAACTTAAAGATAGGAAAGTTATTTTGGAAAGTTTTAAAAGGGATGTACAAGCATTATTATAGGGTACTCTGTGTTAGCTAATGTTATGGTTTTGATATTAGGTGTTCCCAAAAAACTCATGTGTGAGACAATGCAGGAAGGCTTAGAGGTAAAATGATTGGGTTATGAACATCTTAATCTAATCAGTGTGTTCATCCCCTGATAGGAATTAAGTGGGTGGTAACTGTAGGCAGGTAGAGTATGGCTGGAGGAGGTAGGTCATTTAGGGCATACCTCTGGGGTCAACATTTGTCCTTGTTTAGCRAAGCTCTTTCTCTCCCTGCTTCCTGTGGTGATGTCTTGAGTTGCTTTCCTCTACTACATTCTTCTGCTGTGATGTTCTGTTTCACTTAAGCCCTGAGAAATGGAGCCAGTGGTCTATGGACTGAGATCTCTGAAATTGTGAGCCCCCAAATAAACTTTCCTCCCTCTAAAATTGTTCTTCTTAGGTCCTTTGGTCACAGCTGAGAAAAAGCTGACTAAAATAGCTAATCTCCCCCCGCCCTTTTTTTGGTACCAGGGATTGAACTCAAGTGCACTCAAACACTGAGCCACATTGCCAGCCCTATTTTGTATTTTATATTAGAGACAGGATCTCACTGAGTTTCTTAGGGCCTCTCTAAGTTGCTGAGGCTGGCTTTGAACTTGGGATCCTCCTGCCTCAGCCCCCTGAGCCCCTTGTGCTACCACACCCGGCTCCTCCCTCATTTTTGAAAGGGCTTTTCTTTTTACCTGATTTTAAAAAAATTCCTTTTTCCTTTGGTACTCAGGATTTAACCCAGGGGTGCTACATCCCCAGTCCTTAATTTTTAAATTTGAGACAGGGTCTCACTAAGTTACTGAGGCTGGCCTTGAACTTTTGATGCTCCTGCCTAAGCCTCCTGAGGGCTGGGATTATGGGTGTGTGTCACCTCTACTTGACTTTTAAAAATAAGTAGTGGAAAGGTTCCTGGGAGTGGACAGCAGGGGAATCAAATAAGTAGAAAATCTTAAGACCTGAGCCAAGATGATTATGGTAGGAGTGAAATTTTAAACTAAATTTGGAAATTTCTGGCAGTTTCATAAAAATTAGCTTCAGAAGTCTAACCCCTAGATGTCTCATGCAAACAACTATAGAAGAGGCAGTTGGTTTCCAAAGGAGTACCTGCATGGGTAAGACCAGGCCAAGGAAAAATATACCCTGTGATGTTTTCTAGAAACCCAGCAGGTTACTTTATAGGCAAAGATYGCTCCCAAACTCTGTAATACCCTCCTTGTAACAAGAACAAGAGACCCATTCATTCATTCTGGTGAGATAAATGTAGAGGTACAGAATTGAAAGAAAAGGGGTAGGTGTTAGAAAAAATGAGCCATGCAAGGGAACCATATGTACAATGCCATAATAATAATAGCTATAGTAGGCTGCAATTATAGTCATGACCTTCTGCTTGTTGTTGGCTAATTTCATCAACTTTATTTTTAGACATGAAAATGTTTATATAATTCCATGAGGGTGAAAAAAGTTTATAAAAATTGCCTTACTGCCTCACATTTTCCTCTCCTGACAGTTTAACACACACACACACACACACACACACACACACACACACACACAATCACCTCAAATATACCAGCATATGAATATCTTTCAAATTTATATAAATTCTGGTTTCATGAAGACTGAACTAAAAGAAGACATTAAGATATCCCACAAAGTTGAATTTATTTCAAAAATAAGAAGTTAGCTGGGCACGGTGGTGCATGCATATAATCCCAGCAGCTCAGGAGGCTGAGATAGGAGGATCACGAGTTCAAAGCCAGCCTCAGCAATGGTGAGGCACTAAGCAACTCAGTGAGACCTATCTCTAAATAAAATACAAAATAAGGCTGGGGATGAAGCTCAGTGGTTGAGTGCCTGAGTTCAATCCCTGCTCCCCCTCCAAAAAAAAACAAAGAAGTTAAAAACAGAACTTTAAAGAAATGAAATAGTAACAAAAAGGAGATTATTCTAAATTGCAGCATTTAAAAATGGTTATTAAAATTTAGTATTTAAAAGTTGATTTATCCTAGTCATAAAAATATAATCTAATAAACAGATCTATTCAGTATTGTATAATTTAAATGTTCTAAGAATAAAGTTGAAAAGAAATGAATTTCATAAAATAACTTTATAAAGTACACCATTATAAAATTGAAAATCTATCTTCATACATCAGGCAATAAAATAACTTTTTTTCTCCTAACTAGTTATATATTATATTACACAAAAGATATTAAGAATCAATAGCAACTGCTTCACAATTATAAGATTTTATTTACAACTTAAATTTCCAATGATGTTTAAGAGATATTCAGTAGAAAACCTGTCATATGAGAGCTATAGTACAAAGAATTCTAAGATAAATACCCTTCATGACTGATGCCTTTGCATAATCTCTTCACCTTGAGTGGAAATGGAAACTCTTGATTATGCTGAAATTTCACTCCCATGATCATGTGACATATGATAAAATACAAATTATTCTGGGTGGGCCTGAACTCATCTTTGAAAGTCGAGATTTCTCAACTTTTAAAAAATAAGTCAGACACTCAAGCATGAGAAGGACTCAAGTGTGTCACTGCTGGCTTGAAGATGAAGGGTGCCACACAAGCAGGGTTGAGTGTAGCCTCTAGAAGCTTAGAGTGATTGCTAGCAGACAGCCAGCAAGAAAATGGATATCTTAGTCATATATTCATAATGAACTAGATTTTACCTATCATCTGAATGAATCTGGAAGTAGATTTCTCCTCAGAGACTCCAGATAAGAAGTCAGCCTTGCTAACACCTTGATTCTGGCCCTTTGATATCCTGAGCAGAGTAGTCAGCCATCTGGGTTCCTGACCTACAGAACTGTGATCTGATGAGTATTAATTTAAGCTGCTAAATTTGTGGTACAGTGGTTCCCCCTTATCTGAGGTTTTGCTTTCATGGTTTTGGTTACCTCTGGTTGATGACAATTCCAGAAATAAATAATTTATAAGTTAAAAAAATAGTCTGGTAAAATCTATGGTAAGATTGAATGTTTCAGCCTGGGGTTGTAGCTCAGCAATAGAGTGCTTGCCTGGCACACATGAAGCACTGGGTTTGCTCCTCAGCACCACATAAAAATAAAATAAAGGTATTGTGTCCACCTACAACTAAAAATATATTAAGAAAAAGAATAAATGTTTCACCTGTGAAAGGGTGAAGAAGGAAAAAGAAGCTAGTTTTGCTGTTGCAACTCAAACTGCTCAAGTTAGAGCTATAATGCACAAATGCTTAATCAAGATAACAAAGGCATTAAATTTGTATATGTATTTGTAAGAAATAACATGGTATACATAAAATTTGGTACTGTCCATGGCATCCGCTTGTGGGGTCTTGGAACATATCCCTTGAGAATAAGGGGAGCCTACTGTTATTTGTTACACAGCAATAGAAAATGAATATGGTGGCTAAGTAAGTATTTTGAAAAGTCCCCCAATCCCAAACTATTTACCACTATTAATTCCTAATGCCACTGTTTTCAGCATTTATACGAACAGTGGAAGTTGCATTTTTGTGTCACAGTTTGCTGATCATTATTTTAATAGCACAAGTACAGATCAAGCCATTCTTAGTCTTGCAGTTTCAGGGACTGAAACCAGCTTTGACTTCTAAAACTTATAGTGCCTTTTGGGGCAGCAACATTAATCCATTTTTCATGTTTGCTTGCTTGATTCATGAGYCCTGAAATAGAAAATTGCATAAAGTTATATCTTAATGGGCAAGAATAATATATAAGCACACAAATCTTACCATACATCTCTAAAACCAATACTTTAGAATGCCAAAAATCTTAACAAGTAGTTTGAGTTGAGAAAGAGCCACAAAGAGGTTATGTGGGCTTGCTCTCCTTTCATTTTCTTAGAACAATTGAGAGGCAGCTGCTCTGCTTTTACTTGTATCATTTTTAAAGGAAGGTTTTAAAAGAGTTTTATTGAAGTATAGTTGACAAAATAAACCACATGTATTTGAAATATACAATGTAATAAGTTTTGACATATGTAAGAAATCTGTGAAACTGTCTCCTCATTCAAGATAAGGTATATCATCCAGCATTCCCAAAAGTTTTCTTAACCCCTTTGCAATCTTTCAGTCATGACCCTCTACTATAGTTTGGATCTGGAATGTCCCCCAAAGACATGTACTAAAGGCTTAGTTCCCAGCATGGCACTATTGGAAGGTGGAAGAACCTTTAAGAGGTGGGGCCCAGTGAGAGTCCTTCTGGTTACTGGGGACAAACCCTTGAAGAGGATAGTGAAGCCCCGCCTTTCTTCATCCTGTCTCTTGTTCAATTCCTGGTAATGAAGCTCTGCACTACCACACACTCCCTACCATGATCTGCTGCCTTGCCACAAGCCCAAAAGCAATGGAGCCAATTGGTCATGAAATGGAACCTCTAAAACTTAGCCAAAACAAATCTCTTTTCAAGTTGATTATCATAGTATTTCTTGCAGTAAAAGAAAGCCAACACACTAACACACCCTCCCTTCTTTCCTTATCCCCAGCAATCAATGATCTGCTTTGTGTTACTATGAATTGCATTTTCAAAAAATTTCTAAACATGGAACCATACAGTATGTACTCTCTCTCTTTTCAAAATCTGTCTTCATTCAGTGTATTATGTTGAGACTCATCTATATTGTTCTGTGTATCCAGTAGTTTCTTCACAGGCATGGTAGTCAGTACTTTGTTGGGTGCTCATGAGTACCATCTACAGAATCCCCTGTGCTGTTGTTCCCTCTTGTCTGAAACTTTGTCTCCTGAGCTCTGGGAAGCCCTGGTCTGCCCAGTCTCCCCACTCAGTCTCCTGTAGTCCGAGTATCTGCAAGGCTCTGGCTCTATTATCTGTCATTGGCCTGCAGCCTGGAAACTCTCAATGGAAAAACTATGGCAATCACAGAGCTCACCCATCTCTGCTCCTGTAACCAAAAGCTTGGCCCCTGTACCCAATGCCAATTTAATAATGAGGACACAGTTTTGAGAAAAAGGAAAAAGTTTATTGCTTTGCTAGCAAAGGAGAAGTTTGTGACTCTCCCAATCAGAAGGGATGGCAGGGTGGGTGTCACATACCAGGTGTATTCTGGTAGGGGACCTCTGGGGGCCCTGATGAAATGTTAGAATTCATTTGTTCATTTGGGAGATATTCATTTCCCAGATCCTCAGAAGGCATCTCCTTCCTGTAGTGGGTGTGTTCAAGGGCAATTAACTAGGTGAAGAAAGGATAACACTATCTTCCCAATCTTGTTAGGGAGAGGTAGAGGGGAGAAGAGAGGAAAAAACATTAAAAAAATAAGCCTTAGAGCAATGAGGGCTATTTTCAGAAGGTGAAGGTACCACTGTTACACTCTAGTTCTTGTTTTCTCTGTTAATTAAAGTAACTAAGGTCTTATATCTCCTCTGGAGCTTCACTGTTTCAGGATTTAAGAAGCCAGTCTAAATTGAACTGAAGAGTTGTGTATACACTGTTAGGAGTTCACTAGTTAAATGCAAGTTAACAAATCAGAGACTAATTCTCTTCTTCAGTATAGTTTTTTCCTTTAGTACCACAAGGTATTCTTGGCTGAAGAAAAGATGCTTTCTACCATGAGATATTTGTGTTAAGGGTTCTTCTGATGCATATTCTTCTTTGAATTCTTGCCTCTCTTCCTTTAGCTCTGACCCACCACCCTGTCCAAGTCCTAGAGCTCACTGCATCTTTTTCAGACACAGCTGAGTATCCCCTTCTTCTTCTTTTGCTATATTTTCAATATGATCATTACTTCTCATTAGCTTTGCTGAACTGATAAAATATCTCTGTGCTCCATTTAGTAAATCCCTGTTAAAAGCTTCCCTTTCTCCTCCAACTCTTCATTAATAGGGTTCGGTACTACCAACTTTATCTGTTTTTCTGTGCCTGTGCTACACTTGGGAGGTCAGGATTTCAAGGTACCTTGCATCAAATTGTTTGTCTGTAATACAGAATTTCTTTTTCTGGTAATTCAAATAAATGTTAAGGAAAGAACTAGAAATCCTTAGCTTGTTCTTTAATACCATTTAGCACCAATAATAAAACATCAGCAATAGTAGGGACTTCCTAAATATCTGGGAGCTTTGTCTTAATATATAGCTCATCACTTCCCAGGTTGTTGTGCATTTCTTATGGAGTGAGAAGCCCATCTACCCACTTCCTCCTGCAGCAGGAGAGGCTAAGCACCATGCTGCTGTGGGTAACAGCAAAAAGTGATTTCAGCTTAGTGACAATATTCAAAAGACAGGGCAGTTTACAAGATACCATTTAGTTTGCTGAAAACAGCCTTTTTGCCAATAAGCAATTTACTGAAAGCTCTTTGTACTTTGGAGTGAATCTATGGTGAAGACTCATATTCTAATTTGTAAAGTATAAATCCTTCCTTCAAAAGTCTTACAACACATATTGGAACTTGGGGTTCCAAAACCTTGTACCTTATTTAATGTTCCTTTGCCAGTGAAAATAAGGCACTTTTTCTGTGACCAAGAAATGAGAAAATGACTACCCTATCCCTATGTAGGTATGGCTTCTATTGAGAATGAGGAAAGGTTGCTTAAGACATATGTTTAACTCTGCCATTTGCTTTCTAAACCCCTACCCCTGATCTGTTCTAACATATGTATCTACAAGTTCTTTCTACTTTTAACCCAAAAGGCACCTAATCTAATCAGCTCTAACTATGGACAAACACGGGGTTCTGGGGAATAATTTGCAGAATTATTTCTCTTTTTAAAATACAGGATTAAAAAGCTTCTTAGAAAGATGAGCTTCTTCCTGCCTCCCTCCAACTCTCACTTCAGACTTTGTTTATTTACATTTGGTTCAAAGAGACACTTCTGCATTTTTTGAAGCAGATAAAACTTCAGCACATCAGGGTTGGAGGGTTCCCTTTTTCACATGACAAATACCATGGACCATGCACTACCACAAGCACCATACTAAGTAATTTAGGGAGATTCAAAAAATATAAAAAGACAAATTATGCCTTCACGAGGTTTACCAGTACACTAGGAAAAGAAATCATACATGTATGAAACAATATGAAAATAACTACTCTGAACTTTTATTATTTTTAACACATAAATTTCATAAAGTAAACCCCTAACAATTAAATTCCATACAGAATATTCTGTCAACAATAACTAGAGTTTTCTTTTAATAAAAGTACAACCCAAGATATTTTGACAAAAAGTCTTTACTGATAAGAAAATATTTATAAGCTAGTTTTAATGGTACCCATCTATTATATTTTCTCTCCAATATCTGGAACAGTAACAAAGTTAACAGTACTTTAGGCATTGAGCAAGAATACAATTAGTAAGTTCTGCCTGAGAAACAATCTCATAGACTCCTTCCTCAGTTCTGTCCTTCTGCGATATCTAATCCTATCTATTTCCTTTTTCATCTCAGACTTATAATTCTAATTTCTAAGAATTCAACTTTGGTCTTTTTCATATCTCATATGCCTTAAGTTTTTGAACATATGGAATAACAATTATGATGATGGTTTTATTTTCCTTCTCTGCTAATCTAATATCTGTGTCCTTTCTGGGTTGGTTTCATTGGTTCTTCTTTTTGTTATGGTTCATGTTTTCTTTCCTCTTTGAATGTCTGATAGCCTCTGAATGGATTTCAGATGTTGTAAATGTTACTTTGTTAGGTGCTAAATACTTTGTATTCTTATAAATCTTGAGTTTTGCTTGTGAATGAAGTTAAGTTACTTGGAAACAGTTTAAGTCTTTCATCTCTTGCTTTTCTCATTTGTCTGGCAGTTTTGGAGTTGAGTTCTATCTAGGACTATTTGTTGCCCACTACCCAAAGCCCTATGAGTTATGATTTGTGTTTCTGATCTAGTGGGTAGAAGGGGCATTATTTCTAGATGCGTGTGAGCACTAGGCTCTACTCCCTCTGGAAGTTTGTTCTGCAAAATTAGTTGTTTTGGTCTCTGTGGACTCATATTGGATCTCATCAATTCAGGTAGTCTGCCAGTAATAGTTCTCTGTACTTAGCTTGATGACTTCCTTGGCAGTGATCAAGGCTCATTTTATTTGTTTCCCACCTCCCAGTGACTACTTTCTCTACTTTCTTTACTGCTTGATGTCCAGTGTCTTGAAAACTTCAAATATTTTGTCTGTTTAATGTGTGTGTGTGTGTGTGTGTGTGTGTGTGTGTGTGTGTGTGTGTGTCTATCACAGCTTCAGGTAGGAAGGTAACTTGGTCCCTTTAACTCCATCTTAACTGAAGGACTACATTGTTTTTCTTTCTTGGCCTCCCCCTTCCACTCCTTCCAATTTTTCTCCTTCCATTTCTTACCCCTACACAGACTGACAAGAAATTACAAAAATAGTACAGAAAGGTCCTGTACATTTTTCACACAGTTCCCCCAATGGTAACATCTTACATAATTATAGTACGTTATCAAAACCAGAAAATTGGCTGGCAAAGAACAATTCATTAGACTATAGATCTTATTCACATTTCTCCACTTATTCCATGCATTATTTTTTTGGTAGGATTTTGTGCTCTTTTATGACATTTTATCACCTATATAGACTCATATGGCACTTATTATAGTCAAAATACAGAACTATTCTTCCCTTAGATATCCCTTTAAAAATCACACCCTCCCTCCCACTCCTTGTCTAACTTTTGGCAACCACTTGTCTGTAAATTTTGTCTTTTCAGAATGTTATACCAATAGAATAATCTTAACATTTTAAAATTGGCTTTTTTCACTCTAAACAGTACCTTGTTCCATTCAAATTGTGTATCCAATAGATTGATTGGTCCTTTTTCCTGGCAAGTTATATTACTTTACATGGACATACCATTTTGTATATCCATTCACCTATAAAAGGGTATTTGTGTTATTTTCAGTTTGGGGYTATTACAAATAAAGTTGGGAACTTAAGTTCCATTTCTCCAGGAAAAATATCCAAGAATATGACTGCTGGGTCCTATTCAGTTTTTTAAGATACTGACACTCTCAATTCTAGAGTAAATGTATCATTTTACATTTCTATCGGCAATGTAAGGAAAGATCCAATTTCTCTGCATCTTTCCCAGTGCTTGGTATTATCAGTATTTTGTATTTAGCCATTMCAGCAAATATGTAATGGCACTTTATTCCAGTTTTAATATGCATTTCCCTAATGACTAGAGATGTTGAACATCATTTGTGTATTTATTTGCCATTACGTATCTCCTATGGTTGCCTTGTTTCTTAAATCTTCCATGATCAAAGTTTTTGACCCATAAATTATGTTTATGTACACAGAAGTTTTATGTGCATAAATCTTCATGAGTGGTAAGAGTTCACTCAGGATAAGGATTTGGCTATGGTAAAAGACATAATTTTAAAAAACCCTACAGTCATCACAAATATTTTGTCATAGTGCTCTAAGACTGAGGTGAACACTTTGATGTCTAGGGGTTAGCACACTATAGTCCATAGGCCAAATCTGGCCACAGGACTGAATTTATATGGCCTGAAAGCTAAGAATGGCTTTTACATTTTTGAAGGGCTGTTAAAAAAACAAAAAAAGAATGTACAACAGAGAGCACGTGTGACCTGCCAAGTCTAACACATTTACCATCTGGCCTTTTCAGATAAAATCTGCAGATGAATGGAAACAAAACCTGATTTTTTTTTTTAACATTAACAAAGTTAATGTCTGATTACACATGATACTCCCAGGATCTTACACCTAACAAAAGGGTTGGAAAACAAAAACAGCATAATAAAAGCATAAATGATCAGAAGACAGATCCCACAGTAACTCCATGTCAAAGTATTCTTTAGCAGACAGATGTCAACTTAAGAGCATTCTTCATTCTGTTAGTGAATTTCTTTTATGTGGTCCTAATGCACATATAACTGACAAATGTGTGATAAGCTTGGAGAAAACCACAACTTCAGTGTGTTCTTTAAAAAAAAAGTTATTTCTAAAATTTCTATTAAAAGACTGCATTTCCTCCCATTGGAAGAGAAAACATGGTCCCTAGATTTTAAAAGTAGCATCAGTATAACTAATTAGAATACACACCCATACACACAAAGTAACATCCAATGGGCCATATCTCATTTCAACCTCTTTCCCAACCTATGAACCAGTTTTCCATTGTAAATTATAATACTATTGTACATATAACCCTCTGGCCTAAAGATAAACTGAGAACTAATCTAACTTGGTGTTTATTTTTATGTAATTTTTTTTATTTATATATGACAGCAGAATGCATTACAATTCTTATTATATAAAGAGAGCACAATTTTTCATATCTCTGGTTGTAGTTTATTTTTATTTCAAATGAATGTTATCTTTTATATGCTTTACATTTCCATTTGACTAAAATGAAATGAATCCAGTAGTGCCAACTTCCCTACTATATGGTGACAAACACCAATCCTATGCAATACACCTAACCTCTAGTACTTTTTAAATATCTAAATCTTGAAGTTTTAAAACAAAAGGACTTGGTACCACATGCATTTCTGAGCTTGGAGAATGGCTTGATAAAACACAGGTTTCATATCTAAGTTGATGTACCAAGTCTAAAACCCAGAAGAGAAGTCAACTTCTTATTAGAAATGTGTTACCTCAGTCATTACAACCTGTTGAATTTACCACTTAGAGTAGAACATAAAACTTAGAATCCAAGCTCTGTAAAGAGAATGCTCCACAGAGAACACATACTGTGCATAACCCATAGTCTTGGGCTTTCTTTTGATCTCAGAATAGCACACAATACTTGTAAATCACAGTAAGAATCATASAATTGAGTTTGTATCAGTGACAGCAATGGCAAGGCAAACCATGAAGCAGGAAATAAAAACAATTATAGGGTTGATATATCAAAACCCTTTGGGGAGCTTGAGCCTGAAGGACTAATTTTTACTGGCATGGCTTCTTGCAGAAATCATACTTATGCTACAGATTAAGTCCAGACTTCCTAGCAAGAAGGGTAATATTTCTGTTTCTCTGCCTTGTAGGATCTATGAGGAAGACCTAGATGAGCTGAGCTCAGGGGCTTATAGTAACAATGTACACTGAAGCTGCCCATTATTTCTAAAATTAGGTTTCAGACTGGAAATCTATACACCCACACGCTCTCCCACATACAAACCCTAAAAAAAGAAGAAGAAGAAGAAGAAGAAGAAGAAGAAACCCAATGTCTCTTGAAGTATTTCACTTTCAAAGTCTCTTAAAAGTATTTCATCTACTTGATAAATAAGGCCTGTGACCTTTAGGAATCAAACTAGGAGAGTTTGTTTTAAATCCAGTCACTAATTTATACAGCTCACTGTAAGACAGAATGCTGCTGTCTTTACCTGGGGTCTCTGTACACTGACACTCTAATGGATTTATCTAGTATCAGAGACAACACACAGATCTATCTGGTGCCCAATCCCATAGTGGACTCTGTAGGTCGGTATCTAGATTTTTGCACCATGAGCAGGAAATAAAATTTCTTCTACAATTTGGTTCTTCCTGATGTAAATAGAGATCAGAGTGTAAGACATAACAAATAACACATACAAACATCTAAATAAGCCAAGCAGCTTCATAATAACCATTGAAGTAAGTATGTATCTTCTCATTGCATTCATTAACCTTGTCCTTCAACCAAATTTRCTGAAAGTCTGTTTACTGAGTATAAGATAGCTCTGAAAAGACCAGACTACTATATTCTTTTTCCTGAATTACTGCAGAAATCTGCTAATTAGCTTTTCCTTCATCCACCATGGTTCTTTCCAATCTCCCTCCATCCCCCATGGTTCAGAGTGATCTTTCTAATACGCAAATGTGATTATATGACTCTATGTGACTATGTTAAAACCTTTCAATGACTTTGAGATGCTCTTAATATAAAAATCTAAGTTGGTCCTATGGGAGCAGATCTCTCCCAAACTCTCCATTTAGCCATTTTCCCTTTTACTCTCCTGTACTCTGGCTATATTTGATTTTTCATTTGCTCAAACTCACACACTTGCCTAATTTAGATATACCACCTTATACTCTAACAGTACTACATACATAGCTTTCTCATAACATCTTATTCCAGTGTATTGTGTGCACTGGTTTGTGTTACTTTGCACTCCTGCTGTCCAGCAGTGCCAGACTCCCTAAACATTTGTTGAGTGACAAACCAAATTTTTAAAAACAGAGAAGAAAGGAGAAGGAGGAGTTAGGCTAGGGAAAGATAATTTTTATTCCAAAATATATATATTAAGCCAGATGTAGCCTGTAATTCCAGCTACTTGAAAGACTGAGGCAGATGGACATAAGTTCAAGGACAGTCTAGGCAACTCAGCAAGATTCTGTCTCCCCCAAAAAAGGGCTGAGGGTGTAATTTAGTGGTAAAGCATCTTTGGGTTCAATCCCCAGTATGGAGAAGTAAGAAATATTTCATATATATATATATATATATATATATATATATATATAATATTTGAGGTGGTGCAGTTTATCAAAATGGAAATGGACAATAAGAATAAAGAGAGCAGGTCTGTAGATATTGATTTGGATGGAATATGTGCATAGAAGTAATGATTGAATTCATAAGAACAGGGGTTTAAATTAAATTTAAAATTCATAAAGGTATATGATTCTATGAGTAATAACAAAATATGACAAAATAGCTTTATGATTCAAGCATGCTTACATATATAAATAATTTAATTATGATTCAGAGAACTGTTACTTAAATTTGTATTATTGATTTAGATGACTGGGACCAACAATAGGTAACTAATGGCTTTTAATTAAACTCAAGAAATTAGATCACAAGACGTTGATTCTTAGCATGTTTGATACATTCAGATTCTCATCAAATTTTCTTTATGTAACTAAGAGCCTGTTCATTAGTCATTGAGTCAGATCTGAAAATATACAGGTATTATTTTTATACCTTTATGCTTTTCTTAATATTTTATTATTTTAACAAAACTACTTCTTAACTTTCATGACATATAAAATGAACATTTAAAACTGAAACTTGATCTTATGAAGACCGTACCCACCTCAGCACATATACAAACATTCGTTTTTCTAGTTAGTACCTCATGGTTAAGCATATAGGGTATGCCCATGCACACAGTTAAATTTCAAATCCTTTTTGATGCCATTCTGATAGAATTTAAAATAAAATTTCACCATCATGAATTTTTGTATCCATTTATACAACAAACATTTTAAAAATTGCATTGGCCATCAGTGCAGCTGACTATAATGAAAAATATACAAAATTATTTACATTTATAGGATTAATAATTTGCTATATTAAAAGAGGAAATTTATAATATGCATAACAAACCAAATTATTTTTCTTGAATCAAGCAAAGTTAGCTTTAAGTCTTACATTATAATATATGTTTTTAATTGATTTTCAAATTTAAGAATTAGAAAACAGATGTTCCATAAAAAAATTTAAATCCATTTTATCCAAGGACAGGACTAATGAGTGCTCCTAAATGATTTAATAGGTTCTTTTCAACAAAATGTCTCCATCATGTTACTGATAAGCAACAGAAAGAAAAAGGTGTTCAACATTAGAATGTGACAATGGAAGAGAATAAAATTGTGGCTAACTATACCACATTTCTACTTATGTATGGAAAATGAGTATTCACACATGGTAAAATGCATCCTCCTTACCAGTAATTATTACACCATCATCCTTATGAGCTTCAGCCATTTCCTGAACACAGATTTCTGGGTTCACATCAATTTCTTTCCCTGATAATTGTAAATGAGCTTGAAGAGAAGATGGTACCTTCACAATAACAGAACCTGTGATAAATTTAAAGGAGAGCTTATTAGTCCAAAGCAATCTAAGTACCAGAATCCATTATAAATTAGATTGAACAAGGTTAGGATTGCTCCTTATACTATGTTTTTACTCCTCAGCACATTTATTCAAATAGCAGTGCCTTGTCTTTACTCCCAAGAGATAAAAGTTCCCTTACTCTCAAGGCATTCATAGTAACTCTGTCAAGAGTATGAGGCATTAGGAACATTATAAACTATTGGTTCTTCTTTTGCCAATAGCCCTACCCAATCCATCTGATATTAGAAAAGTGAGTGGATTGCTTCACATGCAGCTTATAGATAGGATTTACTATTAGTTAAGCATTTACTAAGAGCCAGCCACTTACTATCCACATGAAATTTATGAGGTACTATTATATTCACAATTTTACAGATGAGGACTTGCTCAAGGTCTCATGTTCTAGTGTTGGAACACATATCCAGTTAAATGACTACAAAGCCCATCTTTCAACCACTGATATTTTACACACTGCAACTTTATCGTATTACAAAACCACAACCAGAAACTAACACTGTGCCTACTGTGTGAAGGGAAAATAACAACAAAAGGAAAGGGATTATTATTATTATTATTATTATTATTATTTATGTATTTATTTTAGTGGATCACAGACTTTTGAGTATCTGAGGCCTGATACTCTATATTCAGTACAATCTGATAATTCAAACTCCTAAAGGAGTAAAAACAACAACAACAAAAACTCTGTTATAGCTGTGGAGTCATTTTTCAAAACAATTATGTAGGTTGCAGTACAAATTTACCAGTACACTCCTGTATCATAAGTTTCTTTCTCTTGTTTCTCATCAAATAAAGAGTCCTCTACCATAAAGCATTAACCCCATCTCTGTGAACTGTCAGATGGCATGCATTGTGAATGCTGAAAAGACTCCTTTTAGCATGTATTTATTTATGGGTCTGAGTTTTCCTTCTAGTCTACTTAACATCTGCTTGCATTGCCTAAAGTAACTGGTATCTCCTCAGTCTTCCTAACTAGAGCTGGAAGTTTGGCTGATAAACTCTCATATTTATTCCTCAGAAAAACTAAGGAACTAAACATATCACTATATCTAGTTTATTAAAAAATAAGTTGTTTTCTGGGGTTCAAATATAAACACTGACAGGAGATTTCTCATGACAACAAATTTGACGACTTAAGAAACAAAACAAAAACAAACCTGGAAAATTTGAGGATGAATAGAAGATATGTTTTCCTATCAAACCTATTTTGGGGGAAGGGATGTGGATTGAACCCAGGGTGCTTAAACCACTGAGTAACATCCCCAGCCCTTTTTATTATTATTTTATTTGAATTGCTTAGGACCTCTCTAAGTTGCTGAGGCTGGCTTTGAACTTGAGACCCTCCTGCCTCAGCCTCCTCAGTTGCTGGCATTATAGGCATGTACCACGGTGCCAGGCCCTCAAACCTATTTTTTTCCCCCAAACCTACTTTTAGAAGCAGAAGATCATGAATTTAAATACTTTTTTTTCTAGGATTTTATGCCTCTAAATATATCAAATACAATAATTTTAAGATAAGAAYACTCTTTTCTGTTTTTACATGAACATGATCTTAAGTCTATCAAATGTTTAAGCAAACTGTTCTATCCCCATCTCCCTTCACATCTTTGAAAACAAAAACCACCACTACCAAAACTGCCTCTGCTTGTGAATGGCTTCTAAGGCCTTGAATGTGTTCCAGTGTTCCCATCTTTAACACTATCTTTTTCAGAAAGGAGAGCTCTTGTTAGGACATCAACCTCTTTTTACCTTGTAAACTTCTGCATGGTTACTGACATCAATACTATCCTCTTAAAAATTCAAAAGCAAACTCATACTAATAAATGCCACTTACTGAAGGCATACTACATAAAAATGAGTGATTTTCCCAAGGACAACATGTTTGGCAGAAAAATCAGTCCTCAGATGCAGGGCTGACTCCCAAGCCCAAACTCAAACTGCCTTTCTGAATAAATTTCACCATATTCACTTTCACAAGGAGAGAGAAAACAAGCATTTGTAACATTTTAACTTCTCATATGGCAAAATGATGAAGACCTAAGAGATTCAAATGGCTGGCTCTGAACCCTTCAGCAAGTCAGTGGCAGAGCTTGGAATGGATTCCAGATGTCTTTACTAACCATTAATCAACAGATCCTGACAAACTTTCCATTACTCTAAAAAGTTACTGTTCCCAAGTATAATGAGAATTAAGAAATCAGAAGATATAAATCTTTGTTTCCATTTATCTTTCTTTAAGTTTCTTCCAGTAATGTGGTCCCAGAAGGAGAAAACACAAAATTGTAATCCAAATCAAAKTTTGCAATATCATATGCTATTTCAATAGGTTGCTGGAATGACATTCTAACTAATACTAAGAAGTATTTTAAATAGATGAAGATTAATAATCTCCAAAAGTTCCAAAGTTTTTGTTTTGTTTCCCTTTTTTGACCACCACACAAAAGAAGAAATAACCTTCACATACAAACAGATTATTTAAAACTTTATTTGTTTGTTTTTTTATTGATTTTATTTTTTAAAATACACAATAGTGGAAAGCATTACAATTTCTATTACACATATTGTTTTTTACTATATTACTAGTTACATTAATGGTATGATTTTTCCCCCTTTGGGTCTTCATAAGAGAGTAAAATTATATTACTAATGAGGTATACAATTTACTCCAATAGTATTATTGAAGCTTTTCATAGTTTAGTGAGGACATATAATATACTGTTTTTAAAAAATTATATATTTCTTTAAAATAGTATAATATGGTGTGAGAAATCACATCTCTGTGTTCGAAATAACTTCAGTTTTGAACTTCTGTGTTTGGTAGCTCTACTCTGATACTCTGACAAGAAAGTCTAGTTGAATGAAAACTTGAACAAACCTAGCAGAGAAATTACTAATAGCAAGAAAACAGTCTCTAGAGAAATACTTTTCTTGTTATACCATTAGTCCTGTTCAGATCAATATACAAGAGCTTCTAGACTTTAATTTTTTAATATAGCTCTTAACTTTTTCTGTACCAAGGCCACTTTGGCCTCTGTTGCTGAGCCACTTGTCACCATGTCCACACAAGTCACTTGTCACTGTGCATATGTGTATGCATGTGCACACAGACACACATAAACTGATAATTAGCTTTCATGTGAATAAAAAGTATACCATTTTAATGAAAAACTTGATCTCTTAAAATAAGTGACTTATAGGTATAARAAATTAAATTATGTAGAGAGGAACATCATATATCTTGATACTTGAAGAAACTCATTTAATGGCTTTACAGGATCTTCCTGGTAAGATTTATTTCAGGGTCACACTTTGCAAACTGTTTCTCTATAGTGATAGCCTGAGTGGGTCCTCATACAGGCTGGTAGGAAAGCTTTCAATATATGAGAGCATTTTCCCTCCAAAGAATATTCTAAACAAAGTGTAATTCCAACATCTTGGGAGGCTGAGGCAGGAGGATCACGAGTTCAAAGCCAGCCTCAGCAAAAAAAGCAAGGCACTGAGCAGCTCAGTGAGACCCTGTCTCTAAATAAAATACAAAATAGGGCGCYAGTACCTTCCCCCACAAAAAAATGGAAAGACCCACACAGTAACACTAAAAATTCTACAATAGACAGTCAAAATATTTACATATTTTGTCCTACAAGTAGGAAAGACAATCTTCATGGTCGTCTATCCCCAGATTTATAAAGATTATTGGTTTTAAGAGCTAGAAGACAGGCATTTAAGATGCTATCAGAAGAAAGTTTCCTGAAGTCACTCTGCCAATATAAGTAATATGACCATCAGTTTCCTCAGTGTTCCATAAAACCTAAATTTATACCACATATCAATATAAATGATCCAGTTGGCTAACCTTTGTGAGATTTCAATTCCACCTTCCCCAGCTGGCTGACATAGACATCGATGGCACCCTGATGAGTTGAGGCTCTTAGACATCCTGAGGATGAGTCTGAGGAAGAAAAAACAGTAAGTGTAATTATTGTTATACGAGTAAATGGTATAAACTTGAAATAAAAGACTGCTTTGATGTTAGAAGTTAAGATTTTAYATTTTCCTCATAACAAYGCCATAATTTTCATAAAAATGTAAATAGTATCAGAAATCCAGAAGTCTATATCCAGACAATAACAAAATATATCTATAGTAACCTCAATAACTTATCTCTAGACATTTACTCTATAACTTCTCAGAGGAAGGACAGTATGTAAACAATGGATCCTTGACAGCCAAGATCATTAAACATCATTAGTCTATTTCATTTATTATCATATTGATATATTTAGTAAACTTGCAGAATTTGCCAAGAATTCTACCTCAAATACAGTCACATGTAAGCAGTAATAAAGTAAATGAAATCAAAATCTCTCACAATTCCCCTTTTATCAAATCTGTGGTACTAAAAAGTGCTCCTAATAGTAAAAACTTATGACATGCCTGGCATGGAAGGTTTGAGGCAGGAGGATTGCAAGTTCAAAGACAGCCTCAACAACTTGAGTAAGGCCCTAAGCAACTCAGTGAGACCCTATCTCTAAATAAAATACAAAATATGGCTCGGGATGTGGCGCAGTGGTTGAGTACCTGAGTTCAATGTCTAGTACCGAGAAAAAAAAAAAAAGCTTAATGACACATAAGGTTTACTACATTTCTTAGCGTGACACAAAGGTATGGGGGATCACTAAAGAGTAAAGCTTATTTTTATCTAATATTTCTTTCCAAGTTTCTGGAATTGAATATATATCTTTAAGTCAGGGTAAGAAAATAATATATAAGCTAGTTCTGATAATCCTTTTTTTAAAAAAATTGTTCTAATTAGTTTTACATGACAGCAGAATGCATTTCGATTTATTGTACACAAATGGGGTACAACTTTTCATTTCTCTGGTTGTACACGATAGAGTCACACCATTTGTGCAATCATACATGTACCTAGGGTAATGATGTCCGATTCCACCATCTTTCCTGCCCCATGCCCCCTCTCCACTCCACCCTCCCCTTTGCCCAATCCAGAGTTCCTCCATTCTTCCCATGCCCTCCTCCCCCATGATGAATCAGGATCCACTTACCAGAGAAAGCATTCGGCCTTTGTTTTTTTGGGATTGGCTTACTTTGCTTAGCATGAAGCATCTCCAACTCCATTCAAYTACTTGCAAATGCCATAATTTTATTCTCTTTTAATGCTGAGTAATATTCCATTGTGTATATATACCAYAGTTTCTTTATCCATTCATTTTTGAAAGGCATCTAGGTTGCTTCCATGGTTTAGCTATTGTGAAATGAGCTGCTATAAATATTGATGTGGGTGCATCATTATAGTATACTGATTTTAAGTACTTTGCGAATAGATAGAGGAGTGGGATAGCTGGGTCAAATGGTGGTTCCATTCTGAGTTTTCTAAGGAATCTCCATATTCAAATTTTTCTGTGTTGTCAATGACTCCATTTTCAATCAGCCAATATTTTAGTTCAAGGGGAACTGACAGAGTCAGAGATGAAGTAAAAGAATGACCTGAAGACTTCAATCAATGCAATTGGCTCCTCCTTCCTCCTCTTTTCCCACAGCAACTGAGCCTTAATATTCTATTTGACTGTCCTGAGAAGGCCATAGCATATTCTTTTTGGATAAGCCTATTTTAAAAGCACATTTCATCGGGAACTCTTATTACTTTAAAGTTGAAGCAAAGTAGGGAGTGTGGGGAAAATTTTGTTGAAAAATGCACTTTTTATAAAATGTGGAGAGAAAACATTTGTGTATCCACAAAGGAGTCAAGGTTTTTCTTTATAAAATTTTAAGTGACTCCAAACAAAAATAGTAACTTTGGAATAACTGTTCAAAATCTAGCACCAAGATCATTTATTATAATTTGTCTCCATTTATTATACCAAAAATTGCCCTTTATCAGACACAATTTATTAAGTTTTCAATTCTCAAAAGTAAACACTAACATTAGAAAATGAACTGCTAGATCAAGAACATAAAGTAGCCAGACAAAGGTGCATATCTCACTGCTTTGATAATACCAACAGAAACTCCAGTAAGAGATTTTACTCTTACTGCATCATAAAAGAAGCCAAGTAAAAATACATTATGGTTTTTTTTTAAAAAAAGTGGACTACACAATGTGTATATTATCCTAAGCTGAACAAGCATTAGKTTGATTTTTCTTGCTTCCTTTGTGGTGGGGGGGGGGGGAGCCACAAGATTTTTATGTGGTTCATAAACAACACTTTTCCATCTTTCCTCTTTATCCCAAATGAGAAATAAACAACTAAATTACATCCAAAGTCACAAAGTAATTATATCTTTATGTTATCAGTCTTGAACTCTGATAATGGCTTACCCCCCTGGAGGCTGTCAAAAAATAAATTAAAACTCTAGATGTGTTTTGAAAAGAGAAAGCAAAAATGACATTTAAAGATTACACAGAAAAATAACCCCTATTTCTCTTGTTTACAATACAAATCTCTGTAATTAAAATTAATTATTAAGAGTAAAATTAAGGTTTACTCTACAGAATTTCTTTTGAGATTCATACAGTGGAGAAGTTGTATAGATCTTAGAGAAAACCTTAAGGGAAATATGCAGTGAACAGAAATTGCTAGTTTGGACACTAGTAGGAAAAAGTAGCCTCCCACAGAAAAGTATCTATTATTATAATTCTGGGCAAAGACCTTGTGGGTCTGACAGAGATCATCAAGTTTTCCTGGAAAATTATATATACAAAAGGAACATACTGATGTCAACCACCAGCTTAACATTACACATACCAAAGAAACAGATATTTGTAATATATATTTTATTAACAGAAGAAAAATAGCAATTATGCTTGAAAGGCTAAAGTACTAAATTTTGCTGTTTTCCTTTAGCTTACTGAAGAACTCTCTCAAAATTCCTCCAGCATGTTCAAAGAGTTCTTAATTTTTATAATTTTACATGAAGTTTCAAAATATAAAAGAACAACCAAAATATAGTTCCTGATTTCTGCAACCTGATTCATACATTTAGAAATCTATACTAATTGCAAGGACAAGAAACAACCTTTATATACAGGACATAGGGGTTGTAAAGGCAAAATTTAAGTTTTTTAAATTGACCTCCTCTCCAGGTATTCTATATCAGGAAGGGAGCAAATAGGAGGCTGAGTAATGAGAGGCACATAAAACACACACACACACACACACACACACACACACTCGTTTGCTTTTTTTTTAAAGACATGATTATCATTATATAGCTTCTGACAATGCCTTTCATTGTCAGAAAAGAGGGAATACAGAGCAGAAAAAGTAAAGTTTCACAAGCGACTCTATTAGCACTCCTACCCCACCATTATTTACTATCAACTCACCACACACACACACACACACACACACACAAATGGTAACTGAGTGAGGTGACAGATGTTAACAATTTGATTGTGGTAATCATTTAACTATATATATGTATCAAATCATCACATTATATATTTTAAATATACACAGATTGGTCAGTTATGCCTCACTAAAGATGAAAAAAGTTTTTAAAAAATTATATTGTAGGGGGCTGGGGTTGTGGTTCAGTGGGAGCGTACTTTGCCTAGCATGCATCAGGCACTGGGTTTGACTCTCAGCACCACAAACAAATAAATAAAATAAAAGTCCATTAACAACTACAAAATATTTTTAAAAATTACATTGTAATGTGGTTAGCTCAGTGATTTTAACATAGGCACTAAATAATGTGCACAGATTTTTTTTAGAAAAAAATCAGTGTATTAAGTCATATAAATAGACTAAAGGAGAAAAAACACATGATCCCTTTAATAAATATGAAAAAAATTTATTTGACAAAATTCAACACCCATTCATGATAAAGGAAAGGAAAAATAATCTTAAAGAAAACTGGGAATAAATAAAGGATAACTTTCTTAAAATCTGGTAAAATTGTTTAAAAGTCTATAACTGACAATTAATGATAAAATATTGAATGTTTTCCCCCAATATGGGGATAAGGATTCACAACAAGAACAAAGAATCCAACTCTTACTACCACTATTCAACATTGTACTAGAAGGTCCTAGCTAACCTGATAGGGCAAGAAAAAGAAATAAAAGAATTACATATTGGAAAGAAAGAGATACAACTATTTTTGTTTATAGGCAAAATGATTGTTTATATAGAAAAGTAATCTATATTCTAGAAAGCCACTTAATGGGTGAATTTAGTTAGCAAGGTCACAAGGTACAAGGTCCATGTATTAAAAATCAGTTGTATTTTCATATACTAGCAGCAGATGATTAGAAAAACAAAAATGTTTAAATTCTATTTATAATGATATCAAAAACAAATTTAACAAAAGGTGTGCTAGATCTCTGCACTAAAACAATGTTGAAAAAAACTAAAGAATATATAAATAAATGGAGAGTTATACCATTTTCATGAATGGGAAGACTCAATGTTAATGAGGATCAGTTCTCTCCAAATTGATCTACAGATTCAGTGATTTAGTACAATCATAATCAGAATTGGATTTTTTTTGTAGAAACTGACTGGAAAATCATAGAATCTACAACATCCAAATAACAAGTTTGAAAGACTTCAATTACCTGATTTAGAGACTTCCTATTTTAAAGCTACAGTAATCAAGGTATTGTAGCACCAGCCYAGGGCTCAACAAATAAATCAATGACTTAGGAATGAGAGATCAGGAATAGGTCCACACATATACAGTCTTTTGATTTTAGACCAAAATGCARAGAAAGGAAGTTTTTTTCAACAAATGATGATGTAACATCTAGCTATCTGTGTAGRAAAAAAAAAAAAAACTTGACTCCTAACTCACATTAAACACAAAAATTATAAATGTATCAAGGTAAAAGCAATAAATTTAAAGCTGCTATAAGAAAACAGGAGAATATTTTCACATTTGAAGGTAGACAAAGATTTCTTAGAATGAATAAAAATAACTGGTAAATTAGACTTCATTAAAATTCAAATATTCTCATCAAAATATACCATTAAGAAAATTAAGCCTCTCAGGAGACTGAGGCAGGAGGAAAGCAGGTTCAAAGCCAGCCTCAGCAACTTAGTGAGACCTGTCTCAAAAAAATAAAATAAAAAGGGCTTGGTTTTTGGCTTAGTGGTTAAGCACCCCTGGGTTCAGTCCCCTGTACAGAAGGGAACAGAAGGGAAGAGAAGGGAAGGGAAAGAGGAAGAGAAAGGAAGGAAGGGAGGAAGGGAGGGAAGAAGGAAAGAAAGCAGGAAGAAAGGAAGGAGGGAAAGAAGGAAAATCTGGTCACAGTGGTGCAGGTCTGTAATCCCCAAAACTTGGGGATACTGATACAGGAGGATTGTAAATTCAAGACCAGCCTGGGTAACTTAGCAAGACTCTGTGTCAAAAATGAAAAGGGCTGGAGATGTAGCACCCCTGGGTTCAAACCCCAATACCCAAACTAAATAAATGAAGTTTAAAAAGAGAGAGGAAATGAACAGGCAAGTCACAAACTAAGAGAAAATATTAACAAAACAGTAGTTGTACTTGGCATTTATAAAGAACTACTACAACTCAATAATAAGGCAAATAAGCAAAGAGATATGAATAAAACCTTCACAGAGGAAGATACACTAATGACTAATAGTGTCTGCAAAAGTGCTGATCATCAAAAGTCATTAGGGATATGAAATTAATACCAGAGATATTAATACCACTATATGTACCTCAGAATGGGTACAATTTTAAATACTGACAATAATAAATGTTGGTGAGGATATGGAGCAACTAGACTTCTCATGCACTTTTTTTTTTGGTCAGAGGTACCGGGGATTGAATTCAAGGGTACTTGACCACTGAGCCACACCCCGAGCCCTATTTGTATTTTATTTAGAGACAGGGTCCCACTGAGTTGCTTAGTGCCTTGCTGTTGCAGAGGCTGGTTTTGAACTCATGATCYTCCAGTCTCAGCCTCCCAAGCTGCTGGGATTACAGGTATGCGCCACCATGCCCAGCCCATGCACTTTTCATAAGACTGTAAAATGGAACTTTGGAAAATGTTCAAGTTATTTATCAAATCACAAAATTAAACATATACAGAACTATTCAACCCATCCATTCCATTCCTAAGTATTTACCTAAGTAGAAGGATCTCTCTCTCTCCATAAAATGACTACTGTGAGAATGTTCACTGCAGCTTTATTGACAGTTGCCAAAAGTTAAAAACAGCCCAACTGTCCACCYACCAGGAGAATGGATCAACAAACTGTATTTTAGTGGTCTGCTTTCACTTCTACCCACTCTGGTACATTATAAAATACCAGCTAGATTGTTTCTCTTTTTTTWAAAAAAAAATTATTTTTTAGTTTTTGGTGGACACATCTTTATTTTATTTTTATGTGGTGCTGAGGATGGACCCCAGCGCCTCATGCATGCTAATGAGCCCCAGCCCCAACCCCTAGGTGGCCCCTTTTAAGTGTAAATTAGATCAGTCCTGTACTAACAGCCTGTTGTAACTCCTGTAATGAACTTCTGTAATGAACTCCTGACTCTTACCAAGTCTACAATGTTCTAAGGTCTAGTCTTTCTTACTTCATCTCCTTCCTCTGTCCCACAAGTCCTTCCTCTACACCTCAAAAATGATAAACTCATTCCATTTTTGAGGCTTTCACTTGCTATTCCTCTAGGTGGGTGTTCTGTATCCAGAATATTACAAGACTCTTTTCCATTATTGTGGCCTTAGCTAAAGCAACCCTTCCCCAAACTCTCCCTGATTGTCCAAGTGAAGTAGCTTTCYTTTCCCCCAAGTAATCTCTATCCCATTATGGTGTTTTACTTATTTATTGCACTTATCCTGATCTGAAACTACCTTTTGTTATTTACATACTTATTATCTTTCTTCCTACCACTCAGAAAAGGTATGGTATCTGGCACAGAGACTGTGTCTTGTTAACCAATATACATACCAGTACCTAAAAAAATTCCTGACACATGGTAGGCACTCATAAACACATGTTGTCTAATTAGTTAATAGCACACTCAGGGTTGTCTTCCAATGATAATACAATGTGGGGCCCAGCTATGTAATTTATCTTTCTTTTAAGACTTAATAGATATTTGAAGAACTTAAAGAATTTGTATTATATTACTTAATACCAAGTTTAAGTAATTCTCTTTGAGTGGACAAGGTCATGCTAGGTTTGCCTGTATTTGACTTACATATAAGGATTATGTCAGATTCATGAGCTAAACTGTAGACTTTAATAAAGCATGAAAAATACAGCTAGTTTAAGAAGCAGGCAAAATTTATCAACTAGCATCTCAGAACATACCTATGGTGATGTTACCCGTCTCACTTTGTATTATTATATTACCTAAAAGAGAAAAAGAAAAAAAGAATTTTATTAGGGACAATCTAGAAAAAAATTATGTTATATGGAATCCTAAAACATAGTGAAAAATCTACAATGCTATTTGATAACACTGTTATTTTTGTTGGCAATTTTCCTTAATATTGCAGATCCAGATTTAGTTATAGTTCTGAAATATCTAGCTTTAAGCATCTATGCAAATCTTTTGCCCCCACTCTCAACCCTTAAGCTTTTATAGAATAACTATAAAACAAACCACCACACTTCCTGACAACATGGAGAAAAATTGTATTTCTAAAGCCTATAAATAAAAGATTACTCAAATGTGTTCACTACAAATTTTCATCCTAAACAAGTAACACTAAAATATCATATGGAAATAATAATTTTATTTATCAGGCCAGTTGCCACATCTGTTTGTTAGATTAAAGTAGTTTTGAGGCCAAGATTTGAAGTGGTTTGGGATAGGAATAATGAATACATGGAGGCATAACTAACAAAAAAAAGCTTCAAAGCCTTCTTTCTTTCAATGAAAATACATTTTCCAGGATAAGTATAGAATACCACAACCATTCCTAGCCACTTTCCTCTAATACCAAAAATAGCAGGATTTTTCTTCATATGTGTGTACGTATAAGTACTTCTGGAGTCAGAAGGTCAATTCCCTTAAGATGTAAGCAATAATATTACCTCTTCTAATATAATTCCAAAACTACATAAAAAATAAATAATCTTGTCTCAGAATTAATTTAAAGTATTTCATTGCTTATGTTTTGTTAATACAAACACTTGTTGATATCTGGGGGAAAAACCAAAAAGGGCACTTGTTTCATGTACCTGACTGCAAAAATCTTTCCAGATTCCCAACATTCTATCATACTTCATGTGAGTATATGAACAGGATTACCTTTGTTTAGGAATAAAAACATGATTTGTATGTATAAGTTCATAAAATATTTAAGACTCAGTAAGTTATAAGGCTGTGAAGATCTTGTTAAATGTGTTAAGTAAATATTACTTCATTGGTGTGTATACTCTCTTCCAATATTCAGACCTAATAAATATAGATTCATCATCACAGCAAAAGTGGGCAAAGATAATACTTTTAAGATGACTTCTAATCCCTGCCTCTGATATTCATGCTCTTGTATAATCACCAAGATTATGCATGTAGGTTGGAACTTACTGATTTGCTTTTTAAAAAAGAGAATAGGGAAAAAGTGATGGGATGTCACTTCCAAGTTTAGGTAACAAGAAGATTCTGGCTTTTATTTTTCTAGTCCTTTCTTGATCTTATTGAAGCCAGGTATCATTTTGTCTCTGCCCTATGGAAGAAGTCCACTTGGCAAGGAAATCAAAGGGTCCCCTAACCAATAGGATCTGAACTGAATCCTGCCAACAACCACATGAACAAGCATGGAAGCAGATTCTCCCCTGGCTGAACATTCAAATGAGCTCAGAGCCCTAGCTGATGACTTGATTACAAACTTGTGAGAGATCTTGAGGTAAAGGACCCAGCTAAGTCCCATCAAAATTCCTGACCCACCCAATAAGACATGTTTGTTGTTTTCAATAGCTAYATTTTGGGGTTATTTGCTACAGAAGACTAAGTAACTAGCACAAATGTTGATGCCTGAAATAGGGTCCTGTCATAATAAACCTAAGCTTGGCAGTAGGCGTTAAAAGAGCATGATAGAGAAATACTAACTTGCCCTGAGCAAGTTTAGTAGAAATCTAGTATGCTTCCCTTGAGGGATCCAAAGGAGTGAGAAAAATGGGTTTGAAAATGGAAGGAGTATTCTTGCTAAGCAGTGTAGAAACTTAGCAACACTTGTCTTCTTTGGTAATATGGAAAGTACAGAATGTGCCTAATTAACTGAATGCTCTAGCTAAGAATATTTCTAAGCAAAGTCAAGTGTTGGAAGTGCTGTCTATTTATTTTTCCTTGCTGCATACAGTAAAATCCAAGAGAGAAACTAAAACTAAAGGAAGGACTGTTAAACCAAAAAGGACCTGGACTTCAAAACAATTTAGCCTCTCAAGATGGCAAAAGATACTAAAGTTAATAATGACTTGAAGTTGGAAGTTGGAATGGCTTCCAAACAAAATGTGAATCTGCTAGAACATGGCCTAAAAAGGAAGTGAAGGGTGATTGTAAAATTTTTTGCTAAGACCCCAGAAAGATCAATGATGGTATCTCATACCCCTGATATTTAAAATTTTAACTACTAATGAAGAACTATGATGTAGTTTATAGTCACTTATCTAGTAAGTCCACTCACCATTCATGATGAAATGGAGCTTTATTGTCCTAAACTAGTCATCAATGAATGCAGTAAGAATGTACTATTTTTTTAATGGAAATATGGTCTTTCTCAAAAAGCCAATCATTAGGAGTTTKGATGATAGTAATAGGGTCTTAAGAAAATGATTCTTAGAACTAGAAAACAAAAGTTTATAAAGAATGAAGACTGGTTCATATCATAGTGGAATCTATAGAGTTTCACACAATATCTCTCTTGAATAAAGTTCTACTATGCAGTAAAAACACAGTGGAACAAAAAAAAATAAGGAATGGGCTAGGGTTGTGACTTAGTGGTAGAGTGCTTGCTTAGCACATGTGAAGCACTGGGTTCGATCCTCAATACCATATAAAGTATAAATAAACAAGATAAAGTCATTATGTCCATTTACAACTAAAAATATATAAAAAGAAATAAGGAATATTTGTAAATACAGTTAAAAAAGAATATTCCAAAATATTTTGTGAATACTAAATAAAGCAGTAAATAAATAAATATATTTGCAAATCATACCAAATATTTAGAAAGTCTTTACCCTAAATAAATATTCCAAAGTCATCAAAATACACAAAATGAACTCTTGTCTCAAATATTTTGTGAGATGAGAATATTTAGAAGTATATAAATAAAAAACTGGTATTATTGGCAAAATTTCCTATATTTTAGTTGCACCTATTTCACCTCCAATCACAGGAAATAATAAATCACCTGAGAGAAGTAAAACCTTCTTTCCAATAAAGAAGATACTACATTATCTGTAATAGCTATGTATGCTTACACTACTCTCAAGTTATACAACTTTTCCACAAATCCTAGTATTTGAGAAAATATGTATTTTTTTTCTTACCTTGCAACCCTTAATTCTAGCATGATGGGGGGGGCGATAAGGAACAATGAATTTAAAAATAATGACAATGGTGTATTTTTTTTCAGTTAAAAAAATATGATCATGGTTAAAACAGCACATATGCTCTTAACAATCCAAACAGAGCAATCAATATCTTTAAAGGTTAAAATCTTTTGGGGGTTGGGAGGACAGGGAGTGGGGAGACTTAAGGAAGCCTTACTATCGRCAAGCCACAATGCTAAATGCCAAGAATGTGAGGACAAATAAAACATGATCCTTGATCTTGAGGAATTTATAATTAGGCAAAAATTTACAGGTCAATGAAAAGCCAGAGATAAGGTGAGGATGCTTCAGCTGGGGTTACTAAAAGATTACTTAATGAGATTTTTAAAAAAGCTTGGAAAGCATTTTGGGCAGAATATAAAAACAGCATGACCATGATCACTATGATAGAAGGCTCTGATCAAGTATAAAACAGCTTAAGAATGGTACAAGAAAAAGTGAGACTAATTCTGGAAGGTAAGGCATAGGGTCAGAAAAGGGAAATCAGCAATCACTGAAGACAGTAGGAAAGGGTTTGAGTAAGAGAATGACATGTTTAATGTGTATTTCTAGTGAACTACTGTAGCTACACTGAGGAGAATGGATTTGAAGAAGGTAAGATTGGAGGCAAAATTACTGCTAGATTCAAAGCAAGAGACTAGAAGAATGTGAGACAGAATTCTGAGTAGAAATCAGAAGAAAAAGCATGGGAGAGATTGAAGAAATATTTAGATGAGTCATAAAACCTGCCTAAAAATTAGTGATTGATTAGATACAGGAGGTGAGAGAGAGGAATTTAGGATGACACAAATTTATACCATGGGGATTTAGGTGCATGGTGATATCAAAACCCACATATGGAAATAAAGAAGGAGGACACTTTATGGATGAGGTTGGGAGGCAGGAAAAGGAGGAAAAGAGAAATTGAGAATGTTGAGTTTGAGATGCCTGTGAAAATCCAAAGGGCTATGCCCATCAGACAGATAGCTATTTAAGTTGAAAGGGCTAGAAATAAAGATTTGAATCATCAATGTGCAAGCACAGTTAAGACTCAAAAATGCATCTGATGCCAAATGTTAAGAAAAAACAATGGACACATATGAAATCCTAGAGAATACCACATCAAAGAGGTAGAAAGAAAAGGAATGTGTAGACATTTGCAAAAGAGCAATTTACCTATAAGGTAAGACAGACATGCCTATGCCCATAAAGTTTTGTGTGCTTCTCTCCTTCCTTCCTTCAAATCCAGCTACATTACATATCTCACTCAGCCTCTGCAGGTAGATAAAGCCATTTGAAAATATTCTTTCTAAAGGCATATGGGCAGAAGAAATGTATGCACTTGTAGGCCTGGTTCCTGAAACTTCCTGCATGATTCTACTATGCACTCTCTTCATGGAAGCCTTGGCAGCCACAAACTAAAGATGGCAACATCACCTGTAGGGAAGGACCTGAGTCTCTGAGTGTCTCAAAGGGGTGGAGCTGAGGACAAATATTGATGGCAAATCAACATCCAACTGTGCTGAGAGATTAGAGGGAGCCCACTAATGAGGAAAATGCTGACRATAAATACATTTTATGCTTTCCTCCTCTCATGGAAGCCTTAGAAGTCATACAATTAAGATAATAGAATTTTTTTTTTTAATGGAAGGAGTCTAGTTCCTGAATGCCACCATGGAACTCAGATTGAACACTAAGGAGCAATCACATTTTCAAATGTCATAAGGTAATAATAAATGGTCCTAAATCTCAAGGAGATTACAACATAGAACACAGTGGAAGCAGTACCAGTGCTCCTATCTGTCTGCCTAGAGGAAATGTCTCTGGAGGTAGGAAGCCCTTGAAGTGATGATGGAATTTTTAGTGCAATCAAAAAGTTCACCATGGCCATGTGCCCACATTTGTTTGAATACTATTTAAGAACATCTCCTTAGAAAGTCAAGAAGCTAGGATCTAATCTTTGCTATTTTACTAATTAATTTATAGCAAAGGGTAAATAATTAGACATTTCTAAGTTTGTTTTTCTCATATGTAAACAGCCCAATTGTCCATTAAATGAGCAAGGCTGACTGATAGCACTCATTACATGTTTGCTTTCAAACAACCACCCATCCACCTACTGGCACAAGGACTCCAAAATTATCTACCAAATAAGATCTACCAAGATGATAGTTATTGCATMATATTTGTATAAAAATGGCTTTTGAAAAACCTATATGTTGGATTTTTTCAGCTCAACCTGGAAAAAAAATCAGTTTAAACTGTCCTTAGTAAAAGAAGCCAACAAAACTATATCCTGGGGGATGGGGTTGTGGCTCAGTGGCGGAGCACTTGCCTAGCACATGTGAGGCACTGGGTTCAATCCTTAGCACCACATAAAAATAAATAAACAAAATAAAAATATTGTGTCCATTTATAACTAAAAAATATTTTTAAAAAATAATAAATCCTGAACAGGCAGGTCTTTAAATGCATATATTCTCAGTTTGTTTTCTGCTTATCAAGATGTTTAGAAGTGGCAATATATTCTGTAAAAACAAGTTTTAAGATTCCATGCCAGCTTATTTAAATATAGCCAAATWTTTTGCCTAATTTGTGTTCTTTAACCACCAGCAATTAAAACAAAGAACTCACTGAAATATATATTTAGAGTTCCAGCTTGAGAAGAACCTTGGAAGATATCTCCCATCCCCAACCAAAACCCAAGAGCTGGAACACAGGGATTTACTTTCACCATCCATGCCTCTAAATCTTCTCACCTACCAAGACAAGGGACTAAAAACCTTGCATGCTCCTCTGTATGCATCCCACCCCTGAATTCCAAACTTAAATAGTATTTTCATAGAATCCCTCGGATAAGAATGAAAAGTGAGGTGACATGGAAGAGAGAGCAATAAATTTAGACTTGTCTGAAGGATGATTTAAAAAATAATTGAGGCCTAGGGTATGACTAAGAAATGACTTGTATATATTGAAAAAATAAAAAACAGAGTGAAGACCAAGGACTAGATGGGGAAAGCAAGGATGAACAACATGGAAGCTTTTCTAAGATTGCAACTGGATCACATTTTTCCTTCCCTTACTCCAGCTCACTTCTACACTAGTATTACAAAAGAGCTATGAGAAACAGTTAAATGATTGCTTTTCATTGAGGCAGGGTGACAATGGATGGCAATTRGAGATAAGGTGGGAGGTAGTATCCCAATGGGGACAGTAGTAACTGAGAAAACAAAAAAGGACATTCAATCCTTCCACTAGACTCTGAGTTCTTTRAGGACTCAGGTACCATCTCTTGCTCTATTTTCCATCCCTGGTGCTAGGAAATTCAGCACACAGTAGATGGTCAATAAATGTACTGAATGAAGAAACGGATTTAACTATAGCAAAGGCTGTGATTGATTATACAGAGCCCCCTTCACACCTGAAGGCTTATTTTCCTAGCTGTTGAGAGTATTGCAGGCAGATATCCCTTGCTGTCAGTACTCTCTGGGAACTGCCTCAGCCAGAAAGAGCCATCTTGGCCCAAGATCATACCCCTTCCCGGGGCAGCTAGTATCTAATGACTGGGGATATAGAAGTCCAGTTCCCCTCATTCCAACTTCAGAAAACTCTAAGGGACCACCCCAATGTCAGAGCTCCCTCTTAGGGTTGTTGAAACTGTGTTACGGTCCAACTTCTCTCATGGAAATTGGGGTCCCTTCCTTTACAGGTATTGGTTTCAAGAGCTCTCCCTAGTAAATGTGCTGTACTCTAATTCCCATCTCAGAGTGCTTTCAAGGAACCCCAACCTGAAACAACAGTCCAAAAGAAGAGCTAGATTTAAACCACAATATGGAAATGTATTTGACTTAATATTAAAGATCAGTAAATATTAAAAGGCTTTACAAAAGCCAAAGAATTATCTCTTATCCCTAAAAATGTTTACATATCAGCTATGTTGTGATCAACAGACCTAGAGTACTATGAAGACTGCCTCAAAAAAGTATACCTGTTTTATTATCATGTACTCAGTGATAAACCACCCCAATTTCAGTTTYCATCCTTCTTAAAGCAAGAAATCACATATCAGTGCATTTAATGTAAACGTGGTATAAAGCAGTGCTGAGAATAGAACAGTTTTTCCTTTGGATGTTAAACAACATCTGACTTGATAAGGAATTGTTTTTCACTAAAAGCTACTCAGTATATTAGATGCAGTGTTTTAATTATAATTAACAAATAAATGTAATGCTTATATAAGTTATTTTAAAAATATGAAGCTACAAATTGCCAGAACTACCTAATGTGCAACTGAATAAAAAGTAAATGAGTAAGTAAACAAAACCATTTGTTTTATCTGACTAAGGCTCCACTTGTGCTCAAGCTATTTTGGGCTAAAATAATATTTTAACCTTGCAAGAATGGTTGAGGCTTAGTCATTTAAATTAGGCTCAAGGCTCAAGATTTATTCCAAGTATATAAATACTCTTCTTTTAGTTTTATTTTCTAAAACTGAAAATAATACTTATCTGTTTGCCTCACAGCATGACTAGCCCTAACCATGGTTTCTATTACCACCTAATAACTTATACTCATTAAAATCTGGGGAGTTATCCAGAGTATATAGCTACCAATATTCAGTTTAAGTACAGAAGTGAAATTAGTAGACCATATATAGAAAAGGTTCAAGCCTACTCTAGATAGGGCAAAGGGTTGGAAGGAGAAGGGAGGGGGCATGGARGTAGGAAGATGGTGGAATGACATTGAAATCATTACCCTAAGTACATGTATGAAGACATAAATGGTGTGACTYTACTTTGTGTACAACCAGAGATATGAAAAATTGTGCTCTATATGTGTAATATGAACTCTAATACATTCTATTGTCATATATAACAAATTAGAATTAAAAAAAAGGTTCAAGTCTAAACTTCCTGGAATACAGCCCAAAAGGCATTTAGCAGATATGTATATATWGTACTTTGAGATAAATGATTCTTTATTAAATTTTTTAGTCATAGATGAACACTATCTTTATTTATTTTTTTTTATTTTTATGTCGTGCTAAGGATCAAACCCAGTGCCTCACATATGCTACCCCTGAGTCACAACTCCAGCCCCAGATAAATGATTCTTAATTCTACCTGTATATATTTTGGAAAACACATCTGGATTTAAATCTTCTGCTCTGTGGAAATTTAAGACAGGCTGAATGACATTGAACACTATCATATCGTTTGCCATATTACTTCACCATTACATTCTATCATTTTCTTTCAATAATACACATGTTGACTAAATAATAGTGCTTGTCTGTAGAGATATGTTTTAGAAATTGAGAGAGGATACTCAAAGAAAACTGGAAATGGGGGGATGCTGAGAGGACTTGATATCAGTAAAAATGCCCATAAAGCATTTAACCAAAATCAGTATCTCTGGGTTCCTATAATTAGATTCTACCCAAATGTTTCATTAACTTTTAGCTTTCCAATTATAACTAAAAGGAATCACTCAAAACTCATCTTTTTTTAATACTKCTTATATTTCATCTGCATACATATCTTTGTTACTCATTTTCTGTTATAAGGCTATTCGTTAAAATCAGAGTAGCTTCATATATAACASCATAATCTTCAATTTCTTGTCAAAATAACATTAAGCTAGGTTATGAGTCATTGTATTTTTAAGAGATGGCTAGTCTGCAATTAATTAGAAGGCCAGTTTCCTAACCTTCTTCAACTACAGACAGTCATCTCTTAAAATTTAAGCTATGTGTAAAGTCTAATATATGGTAGATCTTTGTCAGCTTACCATGAACACTTCCTAATGCAATATCCCCAGCAGCAGAAGACAGAAATGATGATTCTGTATAAAGATACTTGGCTTTCAGCAAACCATCTTCAGTAGATATATTAACAGAACTTCCCTGCAGTTTATCTATGGTCACAGTCTATTAAGAGAAAGACTCATCAGTTCATCATAAAACAAAAACTGGAAAAAACTAAAATGATACATATGAAATTAGTAGGCAACTACATAAAACGTTACTACCTGCTTCACAATAACTTAATTCTGATTTTTAAAATCTAATTACAAGATTGAAACATGCACTCTATGTAGAATGTGGAATAGACCCACTATATATCCCTCCACTTATTTAGATCTTCTTTCATTTTTCTTTTAATTATGTTTTATATTTTCTATGCAAAGTTCTTCTTCTTTTGTTATACTTAGTCCTATTACAGTTTTAAAATGTTTTTGTTAGTGCATTATAGTCATATATAATATTGGGATTCATTTTGATAATCACACATGCATAGAATATAATTTTCTCCACTCAGTCTCCCAGTACTTCCTCTTTCTTTTTCTTCCACTCTCCCTCTGTTCCCCTTCCTCTATATCTTTGGGTCTTCCCTCTATTTATTGTTTTTAAAAAATTGTGTTTTATAGCTATCCATAAAGGTGAAATTCACTGTAGTACCTTCATACATGTATATAGCATAATTTGGTCAATTTCATTCCACAGTTCCTTCATTTAAGTGTTACTATACAAGGTACATTTTAATATTTCATTTTATCTTAATTGACTTTTGTATTTGACCTTAATCCAGCAACCACAATAAACTCACTAATTCTAGTAATTTATCTGTATTAAGAAAAAAAAACTTGGGCTGAGGTCATAGTTCAGTGGTACAGTGCTTGCCTAGCACATGTGAGGCACTGGGTTCAATTCTCAGCACCACATATAAAAAAATAAAGGCCATTGACAACTAAAACATATTTTAAAAAAACTTCTAAATGCATAATTAGGTTATCTACAAGTAATAGCTTTATTTCCAATCCTTATATTAATACATTTCCCCCTTATTTTTCACTCTTTTTCTTGCCTTACCACCTGGCTCTGGTCTCCACTTCTACAGCTAAAAGATGTAAGCAGCCAMCTTTATCTTATTCTTGTTCTCAGAGTAAAAGCTTATAGCATTTCAGCATTGAGCACATTTGTTATGGATATCTCTTAGATACTTTCATCAAATCATAAACAGAGTCTGAATTTTAGCATATACTATAATTATATTTAAGCATGATTCTATAAAGTTATCATGATTTCTCTCCTTTAATGTGTTAATGTAGTGAATACACTAATATTTCTACAACTTTTCCACTTTACATTTCCAGTGTACAACATGGGAGAAATTATATATTTGTCCTTAAGTTTCCCTATCAAAATTCAGTATGTATCTGTGTCTCAAATATTGCTTACAACATAAAATGAAACTATCTAGTTAAGGATTCCAAATCATCTTTATGTATTTTAAACAAATTTAAGTGTTAATGTAAAACTGTTGACATAAAAACTGAATCACCAGGAAGGTTTCTCAGTTTTGTCCAGGAACAACTTCAAGCCATACACTGGGGTGTTGAAAGAAATAGCATCACTGTTTTCTATACATAGGCATTAGTGCCATCAATCCTAAATGAGTTCTTCAAAATTAAGACTTTAAAATGTTATCTAACAAAAATGGAGTTTCGAGAAATTTTACTGTAAATTGTGCTGTCCTAAATTTAATTGTTCTAGTTAGTATCTGATACAGTGCATTATATATGGCCCTCTGGGAAAATAAGAAGAAAAGTAAAAGTGCAAAAAGAGAAAGAAAAGTATGTAGAGGTCTTAYGGGAGATAAATTAGAATTAGTTTCTCTTCTGGATTTAAAGTATATAACTTTCTTTTCTAAAGGGCAGTTATTAAGTATACAATATAGCCCTACTTGCTTCTTAACTACTAYAGTTTCTTTTTATCTAATTATGGATTGAGAGGAATTTTTCTTTAAATCTAATTTCAATAAGTCTGTCAAAGATAGATAGATATTTTACCGATAACTAAATTTGTGAGAATACAAATTTTTTACTTCCTTGGTCTTATAGTAAAGGTATAAAACTCCTGAAAAATATTATCCTTTAAAGGCTCTTCATGAAAGGTACTTTATGCTCAAATGCTCTATTTGAAAAATTGCTTTATGAATAAAATTCTCCAATTATTTCCATAAAGCAGGCAAAAAGTCTGGCTTTTTATAGATAGTGAGGCCATTTTAGAAAACACCAAAAGATAAATATTGAAAAGAAATTTGAAACTTAATTAAATTTGCAAAGGAACACTTATGATTTAGACTTTCTCAACAACCAAATAAAGCTTTCAAGACTTCTTGAAAGTAACTGGAAAATGCCAGTTATATTGTTCAGTAGACACTAAATATTATACTTTCTAGGAAGCTAGAAAAAATATTCTGCCCTATGAAAGCAAGTGAAACCATAACAACTCCCCTTACAATATTAACAAATCATTCCACAAAATTGTAAAGAAATTCAAAATTCCCAGAGGGCCATATATAATGCACTATATCAGATACTAACTAGAACAATTAAATTTAGGACAGCACAATTTACAGTAAAATACTGAGGCTCTGACTTACAATCATGAAATGTTAATGGAAAGAAGTGTCACAAATAGGTTTTCTACACTGTTGAGTTTGCTTTTTAATGAAAATACCTATTCAAAAACAGAATCGACAGCAGATCCAAAAAACAATGCCTTCCTGACAAAAGTATTGTTATAAATTTTCTTTTCTATATAAGAAGGAAATTTTTTCCTAAGTTTAGATAGTATACATATATACTATATAGTTATTACAAATAAATTATAAGGAAGTACTGTGGCTTTGTAGCTCAGACTAAGAAAGAAAGGAAACTGACAACTATGTCACCAACTCACCCAACAGTCAGCTGAAATTGATTTTTATATTCTCGGTTGTTATAAAACTAAATTTAGGACACTAAAATAAATGATATAATTTTAACATGGCAATGTAATGATGCTACTGTTTATAAAGCTCATTTAACTTTCACAATCTTATTGAGTATGAAAAGCAAATACTACCATCCCTGTTTTCTGAATAATAAAACAGAGGCTCAGAGAAATAAAGTGATAGACCTAGGACTGGTCAAATAATCGTTCTTGCAATTCCTTCACTTTATCACTAACATGGCAAGCATTATGTTAGAGTTAGCTATGTGTTAGACATTAAGTACTCTACCTGGATTAACTCAATCCTCATAACAACCCACTGATTTAAATCCATTAGAAACTTGTCTAAGGATACAGAGACTGGACCAGGATTCAAATATTTGGTTCTCAATTTTGTGCTCTTAACCAATTCCTATGCTGCCTTTCAAATTTCCAAGACACATATGTATGAAAGTTGTATATTAAAAGTTAATGAATTTCTTATTTACTTTATATGTTCTTTTTAAAAAACTGCAGGCTTAGGAATATGCTTTATAAATTAACACTATATATAATAATAAAAATAGAAGAAAATCTAGACTGAATCTTTGGGTCTACAAAAGTCAATCAGGCAGGAAGCAAAATAGTGTAATAGGAAGTAGGAATAAATAAATATTCAATAAACCATGAAAGTTGGAGCAGATAACTAACTAATGAATGGCCAAATTATTCAAAATAGCAAATAAATGAGAGCTGATTTAAACATTGATACTTTGATTTGAATATAAATATGTAATATTCTGGTAGCTCAAATATCATTTCAAGTAACATTAGCCATCAATTAAAGGAATGAACTTGAAGGAGCTGCAAAGTTGTCCAATTTCCCTCTTTCATATCTATACCACAGAAATCTGACTAAATGCCATCTAAAAAGGGCTGTCATCAAGGGCCACAATGTCTTTCAGAACTTTCCTAGTTTAATTTAAAAGGCAGTTGGGTACACTCAAATATTTGGATTTAAACAGGCTCCCACAAGTCATAAGAGAAAGGTGATTGAAAATAACAACAGAAAGAGTCCCATACTCCACTTTGTTTAATTACACCAGCAACACTCACCCTAYAAGATATGCTCACAATTACTCCCCTCCAACTGTGGAGGAATAAAGCTGGCTATGAAATTTAGCAAATTTATAACAAAAAATCATTGCAAATTGTAAAAGTCAGAAACAAGAGGAGATCAAGGTTGTTTTTTTTTTTAAACATCTCATCGTTAGTCCAATGTTTTATTTGTTTTTAAATGTTTTATTCTAATTTGTTATATATGACAGTAGAATGCATTACAATTCCTATTACACATATATAACACAATTTTTCATATCTCTGGTTGTATACAAAGTATATTCACAACATTCGTGTCTTCATACATGTGCTTTGGGTAATGATGTCCATCTCATTCCACAATCTTTTTTATACCCCTTGCCCACTTCCTTCCTCTCCCTCCCCTTTGTCCTATCTAGAGTTCCTCTAATATTCCCGTGTTCCCCCTCCCAACCCCACTATGAATCAGCCTCCTTATCTCAGAGAAAACATTCAGCTATTTATTTATTTTTATGTGGTGCTGAGGATCAAACCCAATGCCTCACCTGTGCTAAGCAAGCTCCACCACTAAGCCACAATCCCAGCCCAAGACCAAGGGTTTTCAAAAAATTTAAAACATTGCTAGTCATATTTTTAAAAGATGACAACTTATATTTCCAAAATTAGACCTGAGTTCTTAATACTAAATCACAGGAAACAATAAGAAAATTAATTTAAAATACAATCTTCCTACAAAAAAAAAAAAAAAAACCTTTGGAAGGCAGTAAAGCTATCTTATGATGCCACCTTGTGGAAAATAATGAAGAAAACTGAGTTTCAAACCTTGTCCTTCAGTTGGTCTAATGGCAAAGTAAACAGGTCTTGGAAAGTACCACACACAAGCAAACAAGAAAAACCCAATCCAGATACTAATAGTATGAAATATTTTAATCAATGATCATCAATTAAAAATCTCTTCAGAATTAAAGTGTAAGTATTTAAGTTTTTACTGATTACAAATAAGGAATTAAATAACTGTCAAAAGTATTAAATCACAAACTAAATTTTAAATTGCATAATATTTAATCACCTCAATTCCAAACTTGAATTTGAAACAAAATGTATTAAAAACGCAATATCACAGCACAAACCCTACAGAAGCTACCCATTTTGTGAGCTAACTGAAAGCAATATTGCAATTGTGAAAAAAAGAAAATTTCAATCTTACACTTTTATTTGATGCATGAATATCTATATTTCCATAAACTGTTCCCAGAGAGATCACTCTGCCTCCTTTTGTTTTAACATGTAGTTTTTGACCCTGAAAGATAAATATAAAAATACAWATACAGAAAAAGAATGTTTGACTTACACTAATGAAACATTTCTTTTTTATTAATAATAAAGAAGGAAAAGAATCAAGAAATGAAATAGAAATTAATTGTTTGGAATCATAATATCAACTGGAAGAAAATGTTAGCTGCTGTTAAAGAGATTAAACACCTGTACTCATAGGGAAAAAGAAGAGATGTGAATATTCCAGTAGCCTCACTGAAGAAGGGTTTGGGAGTTGAAGATCACTGTGACCAGCAAGCAAAACACCACTGAGGATGAAGATAACCACATTAATCATTGTTAATATTCATCATTATTATTAATAGTTATCACTTACTTGGCAGTTTTTCAGTACTCCAAACAACTTTACTTATTTTATATGAACTTTATCATTTGATCCTCACAATAAGAGAGATGGGTATTTTTCCCATTCTCTAGGGGAAGAAAATCAAAACTCAGAAAGCATGAGACAAGAATGGTGGTAAACACCTGTAATCCCAGCTACTAGGAAGGCTGAGGCAGAAGGATTGCAAGTTTAAGGCCAGCCTGGGCAACTCAACCAGTCCCTGTACCAAAATAAGGGCTGGGGGTGTAGCTCAGGAGGAGAGCACTTTCCTAGCATGTGCAAGGCTCTGCATGTACAAGGCTCTGTGTTTGATCCCCAGTGCTGGGAAACAAACAAACATRAACTTTATCAGGGTGACAAAATCTAACTTAAATTAGAATCCAGCTCTATATGATTCCAAAGCCCATACTCTGGAGAAGGGCATATTACACCTATGGTAACAGGTTATTGTTAAACCTTACAGAATAGCACACAGCAGAAACTGAAACAGAGTGAAAAATGCCTCCAAGCACAAATAAAACAGTCACAAGCCAGTTCTCTCTCTCTCTCTCTCTCTCTCTCTCTCTCTCTCTCTCTCTCTCTCTCTCTCGCACACAAAAATTGTGTGTACCTTGATTCACACTTGGCAACTGTGGCAAACACTACCATTAGTCTACCCAAATCTCCCCTGCCCCCAAAGTATAAACAGTGTTGCTGGAGCCATGGTAAGACCATTTTTCAGCTCCCCTTTCCTCTTAGGTGTTGCTAAGTTTTTGCCAACAGAATGTAAGCAGAAAAGCTATGTGTCATTTCTAGGCCGGTGTTTTTAGAAGAATAGGTGTGCCTTCTCTGTCCTCATCCCCTTCCAACAGATGAGTGCAGTTTACAAGCCTCAGAGAGAGATGGCGGAGCCAGAAGATAATAGAATCATTGAATGGAAGAGAGGCCCCCCCCACCTCAACACACCTGGGCACAAGTGAGAAATTAAAATTGTACCTGAGCTAATAGATGTTCGGTCTATTTTTTAGAGTAATTTACTTTCCCTGAACTACTACATGCCTTCAGTTCTGCTACAATTATAAAGAGAGAAAAAATAGGTAAATGTCAAGGCAGAAAAAAACAACAAAAGCAAAATCACCATTATGACCAGCCACTGCAGAAAAATGTCTAAACGGTAAGGACACAAAATTTCAAAACAACCATGGAGCTTCTGGGGGGAAATAGTTCAACTTCAGGYAAAAGAGCCTAGAAATCAATTTTTAAAATATTGAGTGAAAAGAGCAGAATGAATCATTCTTCAAAGTATTTGTATCATAGATAGTATGGTTAACTTTATGCCCAAAGAGACATGAGTCTAAAATCGAATTAAATTTAATATATGCATCATCAGGCAAAATGGATTTTCAAAAAGGAAACTACTGTTGAGCTTCCATGGATTTCAAGAGTTTGTGAAATTTATGAAATCATAAGAAAAATTTCATATACATGTGTATTTTTTTCTAAGAGGACAATCTTGAGACTTTCTAAGAGGTCAAAGGGGCTCAAAAAACACTGAGCTACTGTTAAAATTTAAAGCTCATCTAATTACCTCAAAATGTGAAAAATTTTAAAGATAAATAAAACCAGGTAGTGAAAATAGACAAATAGATATTTAAATCAGAAATTATTTAGAAAACAAAATTATTACACTCTTTTTTAAGCAAATGTGTGGCATTCAATGAGTTAAGGGTCAGTTGCCTAAAAATTTATTTACCTAATCTCTAAGGATGCTGAATAAATATGGTATTGCCATATGTTTTTTGACAGGGTAGAAAAAGCATGAGTTTAAAGACCAGGAAGATTCAAGATCAAATTTTTTAGCTGTATAAACTCAAGTGAGTTCCTTAGTCTTTTAATGCCTCCTAGTTTCTTGAGAAAATAGAKATGCTTCAAGGATCAAACAGAGGTTTAGATGGTACATAATAAGGACTCATTAGCAGTAATTATTATTGCTATAAATTTTATTACACAGAACTCCTAGACCTTAAACTGGGGCTTGGGATATAATTCAGTTGGTAGAGTACTTGCCTCGCATGCGCAAGGCCCTGGGTTCAATCCCTAGCACCACACATACACAAAAAAGATCTTAAAATAAGTGAAAGAAATTTATATTAAAAGGTGGCCATTAATTAAGGTAATAATATTGTACCATATTAAAAACTTAAACCAGATATTTTACCAAAGTGTTCTGCTTTGTGAATTTAAGTCAGTTAAATCCTAAGATCTCAAGAATAATTACCTTAACCCTTAGTACACCAGAGCATTCAAAGGCCCAGTTTTAGAGTTTATTTTTTCAGTCATTTTATTTATAAGAATTGATATTTCATGATTTTTATTCTTTCTTAGAAGTCTTTCAAAAAACAGAAAATTAATTAATTAATTTATTTATTTATTTATTTTAGAATTTTTAATATTTATTTTTTAGTTCTCGGCAGACACAACATCTTTGTTGGTATGTGGTGCTGGGGATCGAACCCGGGCTGCACGCATGTCAGGCGAGMGCGCTACCGCTTGAGYCACATCCCCAGCCCCAAGAAAATTTATTTATTTTTTAAAAATAGAATTAAACTCACTCTATCTTGAAATTACTATAATAATCCAATGAACTCTATAAATCTAAAATATGTTTAGGATAATAGTGTTCTTATTTTTAATATGTCTTGTAAAATTTCATTCTCCTGGGAATTATTTAATTATTATTCATTGATTATTCCTAACTATGCTAGAGAGAGACAGAGAGACAGACAAACTAAAAGAATAGGAAACCAAAAGAATAATGGAATGTTTTTCAACTGGAGGTGATTTTCTGTCCCTGGGGACATTTGGGAACATATGGAGATGTTTTCTTTGTCTTAACCAAAGAGCATTCTTCTGACATTTAGAAGGTAGAGACCAGGGTGGTGCTAAACAACTACTCTGCACAGGGCATACCCCCACAAAGAAAAAAATTATTTGACACAAAATGTCCCTAGTGACAAGGTGGAGAAACCAACTTTTTTAAATACACAAAATGGCAAAAAGAAAAGCTGAGAAAGATCTTTTAAACTTACTAGATGAAAAAAATGATGACAGCAAAAATAAAGATAGCAGCATTCTAGATTCTAATTTCCATCATGAAATTGGAAATCCCAAACTCTGAGTCTTCAGAGTATGGTATTCTACCTYAGTTCTCCAAAACTTAAGTATCAATGAGTGAAAAATATATTTCTAAGGACAAAAGGAACTGTGGTATTCTCAGCCAGTTAATCCATTCAAGATGAGGATTTCATTGTGCAATCTTTTTATGTCAAGATATTCTTTTTTTAATTTATTTTTTATTCTAATTTGTTATACATGACAGAAGAATGCATTACAATTCATATTACACATATAAAGCACAATTTCTCATATCTCTGGTTGTATACAAAGTAATTCATATGCGTACGTAGGGTAATGATGTCCATCTCATTCCACCATTTTTTCTACCTCCATGCCCCCTCCCTTCGCCTTTTACCCCTTTGCCCTACTTASAGTTCATCTAATCCTCCTATTATCTCCCTCCCAACCTCACTATGAGTCAGCATCCCTATATATGGGAAAACATTTCRCATTTTGTTTTTTTGGATTGGCTAACTTTACTTAGCATTATATTCTCCAGTGCCATCCATTTACATGCAAATGCCATGTTTTATTCTCTTTTATTACTGAGTAATATTTCATTGTGTATATATACCACATCTTCTTTATCCATTCATCTACTGACCGGCATCTAGGCTGGATCCACAGTTTAGCTTTTGTGAATTGTGCTGCTATAAACATTGATGTGGTCCTTTGGGTTTTAGATCCTTTGGATATCGACCAAGGAGTGGTATAGCTGGGTCAAATGATAGTTCCATTCTCAGATTTCCAAGGAATCTCCATACTACTTTCCAAATTGGCTGCAACAATTTGCAGTCCCACCAGCAATGTATGAGTGTGCCTTTTTCCTCATATCCTCACCAACACTTATTGTTGTTTGTATTCTTAATAGCTGCCATTCTGACTGGAGTGAGATAAAATCTTAAGAGTATTTTTGATTTGCATTTCTCTAATTGCTAGAGATGTTGAACATTTTTTTCATATATTTGTTGATTGATTGTATATCACCTTCTGAAAAGTGTCTGTTCATTTCCATAGCCTATTTATTGAAGAGGTTATTTGTTTTATTGGCATTAAGTTTTTCAGTTTTTTATATACTCTAAAGATTAGTACTCTATCTAATGTGCAAGTGGTAAAAATTTGCTTTAAGATGTGGGCTTTCTATTCCCCTCACTGATTCTTTTGCTGAGAAGAAGCTTTTTAGTTTAAATCCATCCCATTTATTGATTTTTTAAATTTTAATTCTTGCCCTATAAGAGTCTTGTTAAAGAAGTTGGGGCCTAAACTGACATGGTGGAGATTTGGGCCTACTTTTTCTTCTATTAGACACAGGGTCTCTGGTTGAATTCCTAGGTCCCTGATCCACTTTGAGTTGAGTTTTGTGCAAGGTGAGAGATAGGGGTTTAATTTCGTTTTGTTGCATATGGATTTCCTGTTTTCCCAGCATCATTTGTTGAAGAGGCTATCTTTTCTCCAATGAATGTTTTTGGTGCCTTTGTCTAATATAAGATAACTGTAATTATTTGGGTTAGTCTCTGTGTCCTCTATTCTTTACCTTTGGTCTACCAGTCTGTTTCTTAATCCTGTATTTTATTTTTTGGTACCAGGGATTAACCAGTGAGCCATATCTCCAGCCCCTTTTTAAAAATTTTATTTAGAGACAGAGTCTCACTGAGTTGCTTAGGGCCTCACTAAGTTGCTATGGCTGGCTTTGAACTTGTGATCCTCTTGCCTCAGCCTCATGCGCTGCTGAGACTATAGGCATGCACCACAACACCTGGCAGATATTCTTAATTCTTTATGTTTGTACAACTAAATTTATTTAAAATAGTTCATATGCAAATAAAGATGGATAAAAAACTGATGTAAAAATAAAAATTCATCAAATTAATCATCCTAAAAATTGTTTTAGATCTAAAAAGGAAAAAGTTTTATAATTGTAAAGCAAAGATGACAGTTCACTTCAATAAAATTACCTTCAATCAAAGTTTGCAAAGGTATTGCATTTTGATTATGCAAGTGCTAGAATATAACATTACTAGGAATAATGACAAGTTACATATTAGAGATTTATTGCAAATCATTTACAGCTAAAATTGATCTAATTATAAGAAAATAAAATATAAAAATGTTAATTATAAAACAAGATGAATCATCTGTTTTGCATACATAGTTATTAGTCTCTAAGTAAAACAGCTACCTGGTACATTAAAAACATGATTAAAGTAACCTAATATTTCAAGCACATTTCTAGTGCATAAAAAGGCTATTCCTTACTTTTTAATGAACAGAAGAAAACAACTGTGAAGACTAAATAACTTCATAAAGATCTCAGAATACTAATAATATACACTCTTGAGTTTCACTGAATGCTTTGAAATGAGATCTCAAAGAAATATGAGGTAAAACCTTCAAAGTTGCTACAACATCTGTACTTTCAAAAGAGAACAGCTGTCAAGGCATAATGTTTGCAAAGAATTTCTGACTGATGAATAAATTATAATATTCTGAAAAAAAGAATCATCTCTTTAGTTTGATACTAGAGTTCATAGTTCAAGGTTTGTTTGTTTTTTAACTGAAACAGAACTAGGAAAATGCTTATACCTTAACAGACTGTAAGATGCTGGTTCCCTGTTCAGTTTCAATTTTGCAATTATCACACTGAATATTTTGGACTTTTACACAGCCAGACCCCGATGACTTGATATTCAAATCTAGAAGTAAAAAAAAAAAAAAAAAAAAGAAGAAGAAGAAGAAGAAAACAAGTTAGTCTTAGTAGTTCCAAAGCATTTTAGCACTCCCTAGAAATTCAGCGTCTCAATTATGTCCAGAATATTACCAAATCCTGGGACAGAATCTTTTTAACAGTCTCTCTCTAAAGGTTGTAACAGGATCAAATGTAATGACCTTTCTGCCAGTATTTAGAAATAATTTCTTCTGTTGGCCTCTATCATCTAAAAAAAGGAAGTAACACAGATGGGGATTAAAGGAGGCAAGTGACTGCAGTTCTTGTAGTTACTCATGTTTCATATGGAAGATCATAGAAGCCTCTTAGCCCTGAGAAACACCCCCATTATACATACGAATGAATAATACAGTGAGTTAATGAGTCAATATCATAAGTCAGTTAAGTCAGTCAGCCTAGTCTCTCTTATATTCAGGAAGATTCAAAGATTCTTCTCTAACCATCTCCCCCAAATTAAAGCCATATTACAGGAGCAACATGAATTAGTACATAAGATTATGATTTAGGTTTCAAATCCTAACTTGAACCTTTCAAGCCTTAAAAACTGAGAATATTGCCATGAAGATACATCACAAAGTACTTGAAATAATTTTTAAAAATGAGAATCACTTTGAAAAATTTAATTAAACAGTATTAAAACTATAAGATCGTGGATAAATAAGARTGTTATGTGAAGAAAGTTTAGAAAATAAGGAATCACAGGTACCATCTTTGTCAATTTAAGGCATAACCTTAGGTATCTCTGTATAAAAATAAAATAATTAAGAACACTGATGTTTAATAGTTAATTTACATAAATATTGATGATTTTCCTTAATGTAGACTACAGAAGTAAACACTATGTTCCTCCAAACACAAACTATTGGGGGCTAATGCCACAATTTCAATAGTTACAGCACAAAAACAGTTTCAGAGCAATCTCTGTAAAGGCTTAAAATAACACCAATATTTTGGCTGAGATTAAGTGAAAATATATAAAAAGATAATTTTATGCCACATAAACATGGATGCAAATATAAGTATAAAATTTATTTCCCAGTAATGTTACAACATATACCTGAATCTGAGGCAGCACAGGTTAATATGTAGTGAAGAGAAAGATTCTAAAGATAATATTATAGTTTGGATTTAAAATGTCCCCCAAAGGCTTATGTATTAAAGAATTGGCTCCCAGCTTGTGGTAACTGGTAGGTAGTGAAAAACTAGGAGTAGTACCTAAATGAAGGAAGAAGGTCACTGGGGGTGTGCCTGTGAAGGGTTTATCTTGTCCCCAGCCCTTTTCTTTCTGTGTGTACTTCCTGGCCATGATGAGGTGAGCAGCTTCGTTTCCACCATGCCTTTCCCTGCCATAATGTTCTGCCTCACCACAAGGCCACAGCAATGGGGCCAACTGACCATGGACTGAAATCTCTGAAACCATTACCAAAGTAAATCTTTCCTCCTTTCTTTCTTTCAGTTATTTTGTTACAGTGACAGAAAGATGACACAGATACACTGCATTTGATAGGTAGGTGGAGAAATTAAAGCTAGACAGTGATAGTAGTGCTGCTTTCATCCATTCACTGAAATAGGTAATAGACAAAGTAAAGGAACAGTATGAAGAAAACCAAGTTATAGAGATTTGAGGGAACTGAGGAATAGATATGGAAACAGTAACTTAAAAGCAGAGCTCTGACACTACAAAGAGAAAGCAACAAATAATGAAGTTTGGAATCATCAACAAAGGTAGTATCTATTTTCATCTGTGCTGCCATAAATTTTGCTTAGCTGTACTTAAACACTCAGTCTTATTTGTACTATGGGCAAATCTCCCCCAGCACCTTCCAGATATTTTTTAGAGGGTCTCTTAGTCATCTAGGCTGGTTAAAATAAATTCAGAAGTAAAGTGGATGGGTGGATTCTGGTTAGTTCAAATTCCAACTCTACCACTTCATATCTAAGAGAAAGAAGACATTTCTTAAATACACCCCAACCCCCCAGCCAGAATGTAAGTTTCTCAAATCCATGAAATGTTTCTTATGATTTACGTTTCACAATAAATATTTACTTTATGATACTACCTTTATTTCAATTTCCTCATCTGGAATGGTGACAATAACATCATCTACTTTACAGAGAGGATTAGAAAAGATTATTTTAGATGATGATTGTTATCATTATGATCACCATCAATATCATCCTTCAATCTCTGGAAGAAAGAGAGCCTGTGGAGCCCTTCCTGGTGTCTTGAATTTAAGAAATAACACAACCCAAACACCTAGGAAATATATGATGCAGGCATTATTTCTGAAGTTTCTCAGGCAATCTTACTATRTGTTTTTCTTTAAAGCTTGCTACTCCTGGAGAACTTTGGCCAAAAAGATCCAGAGACATCAGTTAGAAGCTAGGTGTCTCTCTGAAACYAGATACTTGCTCCAGGTTAGGTATGGAACAGCCCATAGATAAGAAGTTGTGTGGGGACCGCAAGGAGAGAAGGATAAGCAGGGGGAAAGATAGATGGGTTGCCAAACCATTGAATGGATTATCAATAAACCTCAACCCCCMAAAGTAAAACAGTTTGTTAATGACAATGTGACAAACGAAAACATATGGGTCTCCACAAATATTATTTGGGATTATTCCAAAACATGTTTGCATTCGATTTATTTATTTATTTTTTACTTCATTAGGAACCTAATTCTTAAATACTTCTCAGAACTCAGTAGTGCAGAAGAAAAGGGGCCAACTGTAAATTAGGTTAGAAAGTCAAGTTCAAAGAGGCAAATGCACGTTCACCTAACTTGGTCTAATTTAAGAAGGTCACTGTGTTTGTGCTCTGGGGCCCAAACTTCACTTGCCAAACTTCAGGGGTGCGTTCACCTCCACCGACGCCTGGGGGTCCACGGTGTCAGACAGGATGGCCACCTCCTGCAGGGCCTCGTCGTACTTCACCTGCAGGTCATTCAGGCCCAGGATTCCGCCCTCCACGCCGCACACCGCGACCAGCAGGCGGTTGCCATCGGGGTAGGTGAGGGGGTCCAGGGGCCTCACAGACAGGTGGCAAGGGAGCCGCACCCGCAGCCGACCAAATGGGCTAACCAGCAGCGTCCACTCCTTCAGAGTCCGGCGCGCTGGGCCAGGCAGAGAGGCCTCGGGTTCGGATCCCAGCCGCCGCTCGCCACCAGCTGAGCAGTACAGCCTGGCCTGGCAGGCCCTTAGGGTCCAGAGCCTAGCACCGGCCCACACTCGGAGCTGACCAAGCGTGAGGCAACCAAGTCCCCAGCCGGAGCTGGAGGCGAACATGACTCGCCGCTCTCTCGCCCTCCCTAGGAACACCTCAACCACACCCGCGGCGTCCCTTGCCAGGGCCAATCGACTTAAGCACGGAGCTCCTACTAGTCAAAAAGGAAGATTTGCTGAAGCTAGAACAAGCCCATTCACTTAACTAGGCGATTTAGATTTTATCGGCAGGGCAATAGTAAACCGGAATTTGAAAGCTGTAAATACAAATTTCAGAGGCACACTCCTAGCTTACTTCCGCCCCTTTCGCGAAGGCCAACGGGATAGGTAGTTCTGAAAAAGCCAGACGTCAAGACGTTCTGGCGGTTTAAAAACTACATATCCCAGGAGGCAATGCGTGGGAGAGTACKAGTCCTGGGCTGGAGTGTTGGCCTCTTCTGAGAACGGCGCGCGGCCTGTAAGTCAAACCCATTGGCCATTGGAGGGATGGGCGGGGGGCGGGGGGAGGGGGGTAAATCTACATGAGAATCCTGCTGGCCAATGGAAAGAGTGGGAGGGGTAAGGGTAAAGCTGCGTGGTCACCTTGGAGACCAAGGACGCGACTTCTCCTCAGGAGAGGGCGGAGCTTTGGAGTGAAATCCAGGAGGTCAAACCCCCAAAAGAAAACTAGGAGCCTAAATAAGGATCAGGACCAAGGGAAGGGGTAAGAAACTGCTCTTTCTAAAAGACGAGAATTAGGTGCAAAATAGAAGTCCCCTCTGGGTGGCTAAACCAAGCTTCGCTAAACTAGTATGTGTGTGTGGAGGCGAGGTGGTGGTGGGGGGGGCAGGGTCCCCCTGGGATGGAGAATCCTGTGTCAAGAAATAGAGTAACATTGGTGCCTTTTAAGGAAACTCCTTCTTCTGTGGCAAAGAGAGTATAGGAATAGCGTTAGAGTCCTGGCTCTCCCTAATGTAAGTGACCTTACTCCAATCATTGGATGTCTTTGGGGTTCAAATAAAATGCTCGCTTTTCAAATAAGGACAATGATATCTTCCTTGCCTTACTTCAGAGGATCAAATGAGATAAAGAATGGCAATAATGCACAGTCTACAAATTGCAATGTAGGTTCTGTATTTTTATTTTAGGGACAACATTGATTCTAACCAAGACAGTTTTGAGAGATCAGAACTTATTTTGAGAACAGCATTGATCTCTTGGATTACAAATTATTCTCGGTTTGAGGTCAAAAATAAAATATTAAAAAGGAGAGGGTCAACCAGATTTGGTGGAAAAAGCGTAAATCTAAGGGTCAGATTATTTTCCTGGCTCTGCCATTGGTTTATCTGCATCACATGGTCCTGTTTCTTCTATGTTAAGATAAAGATGGATTGTACTAAGTGACTCTATAAGGTCTCTCTTGCTTTTCTATTTTATTATTTTATGAAGGTAAAAAAAAGGGTGGGGGGTGAGAGACTTATTTCCTTCTTATCTGCCTGATCTCTCTTCTTTCTCTGACTCTCTCTCCTTCTACAAATCATCCCATAAATTCCTTAGCCAAGACAMCAACAAACAATAAAGTTTAATGAAACACAAGTACTGAAACTGAATGCCTTCAAAAATTGTAGCCCTTACCCAAGTGCAGTGACCAGAGTTCTTGGGAGCTATGGTGGTAGAGTGGAAAGAGAGACTGGATTAAAGTTCTCCTAAGTCCTAGTTACAGGTTCTTTGCTGGTAACACCTTTTTAAAAATTCAATGCTTTCTTAAGTTTCCCTTTTCTTCTGTCCTTAGTCCTTCCTCCCTACATATTGTTCATTTAATGAAGACTCATGATAGGTGCTAGCTTTTAGGTTCTGCAAAGGCCCACAGAATGAATAATTTGGTCATAATTATTCAGATTAATCTTCAAAGTATCTTTTTATGAAAACCAACAGGCAAATCCATTGATTTCAAGTTTCAAATTTTTCAAAATAAAATTTTAAAAGGAACTGGATCAAACAAGTTAAGAATGCGCTCAAATTTGCTGCAGAAGTGCTAGATATTTTTAGATAAAATATGAATCCTCAATAAGTAATTACTTATATGGTTATTTTTCCTTTTTGGAGACAAATTGTTATTCTTTTTGCATTATAGTTGAAGAAACAGATTGAGAAACATTAAGATTAAGCAGTTAGAAGGTCTGTCCCTCTTACCATTCTGACACCTTTGAAAAAAGAAGAAAATGTTCACCTCATAAATAGAGTATCAGATATAATGTTTTATTCTTGTTTGTAGTTTACTTGCGAGATATTTTTATCTCTTTAGTTTTAAACAAGCCATTCCCATGGTCATGAACATATGCTTCTCATATGCATTAATACAAACTTTTCATTTCATCAATAAGCATGAAAAACCTTAAAAATATGTGTATCTATGGCCAGAAATTGTGCTTTTTGGAATGTAAGCCTCGGAAAAGGAATGTTCAAGGAATTTTGTTTTACAGTGCTACTTATAAAAGGAAAGAGTTGCATCAATTTAAACACCCCTCCAAAAGAGAGCATTACCTAAATTAGTAAATGGTTGTAATATTTTGCAATAATTTAAAAATTGTATTTTGAAATTGAGTAAATGGTATAGGAAATATTCCATAACAAAATGTTAAGTAAAAACAGTAAATACCAAATTGTATATATAGTATTATTCCAATTCTGTAATAATAATGAATTTCATGTAAAATTATATTATATAGAAATAATTCCAGAGAAAGAGGATATACATCACTTGATAATAGTGACTATCTCTAAGCAGTGAGATTATGAGTGATTACATTTTTTTCATGTTATCAATAGTGAACATATTTAACATAATAAGAAAAAAGTTTTTTTCTTTTTCCTTTTTATAATTATACATAATGGTGAGATTCATTATTACATATTTTTGTACGTGTACGCAATAGAAAAATGTAATTTGGTCAGTTTCATTCCCCAGCACCTCCCCTMTTTCTCCCCTCCTCCCTTCCCTTGCTCCTCTTCCTCTACTCTACTGGTCTGCCTTCTGTTTTCATGAGGTTCCTCTCTTCCCCAACCTTTTTTCTCTCTGGCTTCCACATATGAGAGAAAACATACCATCCTTGACTTTCTGAGTTTGGCTTATTTCACTTAACGTAATGTTCAAGTTCTATCTATTTTCCTGCAAGTGATAAATTATATTCTTTTTTATGGATGAATACAACTCCACTCTGTAAATAAACTACATTTTCTTTATTCATTCATCTGACGATGGACACCGAGGCAGGTTCCATAGTTTGACTATTGTGAGTTGTGCAGCTACAAACATGGATATGCTTGTATTTCTATACTATGCTGACTTTTGCTCTTTAGAATAAATACCAAGGAGGTATAGCTGTGTCATATATTGCTTACTACAATAAGGGAAAAAATTAAATATGTTTCTCAGCATATATTGTTCCCTAAGACTGACTCAATTGAAGACTTTTTATCATCTAAATGAATTTTATTGATTTATGTTCAATAAATGGACAGCAGAGGGCATAAGAGAGTTTTCAGAAAAAATGTAAACAAAAGAAAAGATTAATTCTGTTTAAGTGAAGGAAGTMATAAGAATTTAATTTTCTGAATTATAAACTACTTTAAAGAAATCTATCTTATGATTTTCTATTATTCTAATAAAATATTAATAAACTCAAAAACCTGAACTAATGGTACTGAGAAGCATTTAATGAATATATAGATAGAACTTTTTGAAACCTGTATGTGAAACTGTAAATATAATCTGTATGGCTTGTATTTCAATTCTAGTGCTATCACACTGGCTAAGACTGCCACTACAATATTGAACTGGAACAGTGAAAGTAGAAATCATAGTCTCCTTTGCAATCATATGGGGGAGGCATTTGGTATTTCAACAACTRTGTCCTGTAGAGTTAATAGATGTCCTTTATCAGGTTAGGGAAGTTTCAGTCCTAATTTTCTCAGACTTTCTACCATGAATGAACATTTTTCATTTTGTCAAATGCTTTTTCTGCTTCTATTAAAATGGTTGTATAGTTTTTCTTTTTAAAATTATTGATATCGTGTATTACAATGATTGATTTTTCAAATATTAAACCACTTTTTGTTTGTTGCATTAATTTTATTTGGTCATCTTATATTCTCCTTTCTATAAAAATTGCTATATTCAACTTGTTAAAATTTTGTGAGAATTTTTTATTTGATATTCATGAGATACTGATTAGAAAATTTTTAATGAATTTTTCTGATTGGATATCAGTGTAAAATTATGAATTTTATTTATTGTGCTTTCTTTACCTGAAGTTTTCAATTTGTAAATCTTTAGCTTTTCCCCACTTTTTCCAGTCTTTACTTATGGATGTATATTAGAATTGTTCCTTCTATCATTCATGTGCCTTAACTGTGTTCACATGACACGTGCTTTTTCATTTTCTGGATGTTGTCCTCAAATCTATATTCTAATTCACTAATTCTTTCCTAATCTTTGCTAATCCAGTGTTTAATATCTGTACTGAGTTATCATCCCAAAGGCTATATTTCATTTTTAGAAAATTTACTTTTTTTTAAACAAATCTACTTTCTCTTACTTTAAACTGACCTATTTATATATTGTAGTTTCTTTATCTCACCTTTCCTCTTTAATTATTTAAACTTATTTAAAATTTTTCTATTATATTCTGTTTCAGGGTCATTATTTCTCTTTTGTTGCAAAAGCAAACTCCTTATGGTGGCTTATTTTCTGTAGTGGTTTGTATGTTTTTATTCTTAGCTCCACTTGAGTGGGAATTCTCTTTGTGAAAATCCTTTAAATTCCAGATTATGATAGCATTCCTCCAGAACAACTTTGAATTTCCTTTGTTTAGATCCTTACCAACTTTAGTGGTCATGGGGCCAGATTTTCAATTTTAATTTATTTATTTTTTTGCTTCATATCTTTTATGTAAAGCAATTCATTCATGTAGAAGAATGCATATAAAATATGGATAAGGAATAGCAAAAAGAATATCTCTGGCCCAAACACCCGCAGAATTAAGACTTGACCAATGAGTTTCTATTTCCTTATTTTTTTTTTCTTCCTTTAATTTCTGGCTTTTACTTCAACATGGGCTGAACTGAGAAGTCTGTAGAAGGGGCTTCTACAACACAGAGTGGGGAAATCCCTGTTTGTTTTGTTCTGTTGGCTCTGCTCCAAGCATATTTGTACTGCTGCTGACAGGCCATGAGTATATTYATGAATAGGAAAACACTGACTCTTTAAATAATGGGAATGGGGAGGGGATGCTCATGTCCTCTCCACCC